TGATTATAACATTGTGAGGACTGGTTAAGATGGTTATTACAACTTTAGGGGGAATGGTGTTGGTTAAAACAGTTGCTATAACATCGTTGGGGGGTTGTTAAGAAAGTGATTATAACATTGGGGAGATTTGGTTAAGATGGTTATCATAACATTGAGGGTGGGTGTTGTTAAGATGGTGATTATAACCTTGGAGGGTACTGGTTAAGATGGTGATTATGACCTTGGGGGATACTGGTTAAGATGGTGATTATGACCTTGGGAGATACTGGTCAAGACAGTGATTATAACCTTGGGGGGTTTGGTTAAGATGGTTAGTATATTGCATAGTATTTTGGAGGGAAGGATTGTAGTGCTTATTGATTTTATTTGGAGGAGGGGGGTGGGAAGTGCAACTGCAAATTTTTTTACAGAAAATAACTAGGTGCTCCGATAACTTATTTATTAATAAATAAATATTATTTATTAATAATAAATAACTAGACTTCAAGGCCCTTTGGAGGGATACACAGGAAAGGCCAATCTGCCTCCTCTTAAAGCTTGGTCTGGGCTCATCACGTAATTGTGAACTTCTCTGAGGATCTTTAGGCTGGTCTCGGGCTACTTTATTCATGTGAAGTTTCATTCATTCAACATTAGTTAGGGTTGATATGATTCCCTTGGGAGTAAGTGGGCAGAATAAGGCCTTTAAAAATTAAATTCTATAAAAATGTTTTTTTTCCCTCCACATTAGAAGTGGGGGGTCTATTAATTCCCCCTTGACTTACAAGCCAACACTTAAAAAAACCCAACTTGACAGCAGACTATACATTCATTATTTATACGAGCTCGTAGTTAAAGGATTAATTTATTTTACAAGAATGCTTAAACATAAGGTCATAGAGTTTTAGTTAAGCTGATCCAAAGGGCAAAACTCCTGGGTCTCTCTTTTTTCTTTCCCTTCTTTTTGTTTATGTTCCAGACTTCTGATTTCATTAGCAAAGGAAATTATGCTATGGAAACTCTCTCTAACCAAAGCAGACTTGTCATTTGTCTGTACCTTTATAGTCTTAGAAAATAGGCCTGGGGCAGTCAGAGGGTAAGTGACTTGTCCACTGTCACTACAGCTCTTGAACCCAGACCCTCCCAGCTCCAACATCCATTGCGCCTCTCCGCCTCTCAGGTCTCTTGTTAAAACTCTACATTTTCAAAATCTAAAATTAAGTATTGAATATCTAAACAATAGCTAAAATAATTTAGCTAATACCTAAAATTATTAAAATAATCACCTTCTTAAACACGTGAAGCTAGCTCTATTTCACGTATTTTGTTCTGAACTAGTGTAGATGTACTTTTGCTAAAGCTACAGAAGGGCTTGACTCAAGTACCAGCTTCTTCCACGAAAAGTCTTCTGTGCCTGCATTCTTGGGGTACATCGATCACCTTCTCCCAGGCTGCTCTCTTATCTCATATTTGACTTATCTGCATACATGGTGCATCCTCCTACTAGAATGTAATCTCCTTGAGGGCAGAGCACGTTTGGCTTTTGCTGTGGATCCCCCAGCTTTGAGCACCATGCCTATGTGATATAATGAATCGAACTGTGTATACTTACAACACACGTAAGGAGGTGAAAATCTCTGAAATCTTAACTTCGGAAAATGTTCTTACTAAAAAGCCAGGAACCTAGCCACTTGTCTTTTCATATGCCCTCTGAATTCTGCTAAATTTGAAAAATCTACATGGATTTTTGGAGAAGAAGAATGTACATGGACATTTGCTTAATGTGAATAACTGACATCCTAAATTTGAAGCATGTAGATGTACTTTGGAAGAAGGGAGAAAGAGAGGGAAAGAGAGACATACAGAGAGAAAGAGACAGACAGACAGACAAAGAGAGAGGGAGAGAGACAGAGAGACAGAAACAGAGAGGGGCAGAGAGAGAGGCATAAGAGAAATGGGCCTGGAACCTATTCCATGGTCTGTCACATATGCCTGATCAGCTCCTTCCTGAGATATGATGCAATGCTTGTCCATATTGGAAACTGGGAGGTGTCAGCTATAAACTTTAGCTCTGGACTCCTCTGACACTACTTCATCTCTAACTGGTGTGATTTTAAGGCAGTATGACAAAGGATAGAATTTCTAGTCCCTCAAGAGTAATGTTTTGGCCACAGCTTAAATCAGCTGACCAACTGCCTTAGAGGTGGCTGACCTTGATCCCAGATTTGCTATTGGCTGCATTATACTGCTAAATCCCATAAAAAAGTGAATTTTAAAGAAATTTAAATGCTGTGATTCATATGTAGATATTTTTCACATAGTGGCAAATAGTCAGGTGGGATCAACTATATTTTGAAAGAGGTATATTAGTAAGAGAGTCGTCAGGTTACTTTTAATTTACAAGTAGATTTTTTAAAAAGAAAGTCATTAGAAGGCATTTTTGACACATTCATACTTAAAGAATTTAGCTTTAATGACTTCTAAATAACTATCTACTCTATAGGATGGATGACTCCCACATTCACATCTCCAGCCTCAACTGTTTTTTGTTTCACCAATCAACAAGTATTTATTAAGCACCCATTGTATGCTGAGTGCTATGATAGTTACTGGAGATTCAAAGATAAAAATGAAATTGTCCTTGCCTTCAAGGAAGGCCTTCTACATTACATTCTACCAACCTCTGAAGCATCATCTCCAACAGCCCACTGGACATCTACTGAACCTGACACCAACCTCAAGTTCAGGTTGTTTAAGGCTAAATCTATTCTTTTTCCGCAAATCTTTCTCCTTTCCTAACTTTCCTATCTCTGTCAATGGCACCACTTCTTCCATTCTGAGCTTGGAATGAGCTCTGACTCCACCTTCATCTAATCTGTGGCCAAGTCCTATTGATTCAAATACAGCTATGTCTTATTTATCTCGATTCCCTCCCACCCCACCCCCCAGGGTCTAGTACAGTGAATTACACATGGTGGCAATTTAATAAACATTTGTTGAATGTATGACAGAACTAAGGGAGGCAGTATGGCATAATGGACAGTCAGCTTTGGCGCCAGGAAGACCAGAGATCAAGTCCTATCTCTGGCACATATTTCTGGATAGTTAAGTGGCCCAGGTAAGAGCCCTGGGCCTAGACTCAGAAAGACCTGAATCCAAAATTGGCCTCAGACACTTCCTAGCTATGTGACCCTGGTCAAGTCATTTAACCCTGTTTGTCTCAGTTTCCTCACATAAAATGAGGTAGAGAAGGAAATAGCAAACCACTCTTCTATCTTTACCAAGAAAACCCCAAAAGGGGTCACAAGGAGTCAGACATGACTGAAACAATTGAACAACAATAAAGGCTTGGACAATTCACTTCAATGCTAAGCAGCTCTCTGAGAGTCTAAGTTATAGAGAAGGTGCTGACAGCTAGCTAGCAGTTAGCATTTATGCAGCTCCTGAAGGTTTGCAATGCATTTTGTATCTGTTATACCATTTATTTATCTCCAGTAAAAGCTAAACATCTTCCGGGATTTTGATTGGCCTTCTCATTGGACAGGCATAATCTATACCTTAGTTTGATCTTGAAAAAACTAGAAACCTATCAATATTTGTGAATATACTGTATGCTGCAACTAGAGAGACCCCTCCTGTGTGACCTGAGGACAACAGTCAGGAATGAGTTAAAGATAAACATTGTACGTGGAGGGTGTGTATGTGTGCTTACAAATGGGTCTTTTCTCTTTTATAGTCAAGTTTTTCCTGTTCTGCCTCTTCTCCTTTCCTTAAAAGGTCCTCTCCTCAAAACTGTAAGAATTGAGCTCCTTCCTCTCAATGATTCTATTTTCTTCCTAATCTTTTTTCATTGGAATTTAGTGAAAACTTTCCCCTTGTTCACAGAAGCAGAGCCAGACCCCAGCGTCATGCAGTAGGTGTACAGTGGAAAAGCTGCCTGAGTCACAAAGTTTAAGTCACACGATATACTTCAAATGTATGAAGATATCAATCATGCTACTCAAACAGGCCCTGGTGAATCCTTTTGCAAAGCTCTGAATGCTTTAGAAACATGACTTATTGTCTGTTTTACTTGTTTCCTGAGTTTGGATTCTTCTATGTGAAGATTTCTTATAGCAACACAGAACTGTATATATTAATATCAATTTTCTATTGTTTATTTCCTGACCCAGCCCAATAAACATTTCTATTGTTTATTTCCCAAATACAATTTATTTACATACAGTAGAACTGTCCTTATCTATGCCTCCTCTTGAGTACTTAAATTTTAAAGACCCTTTCTATATTTATTTGTTTCCTGTACATTTTTTTTAAAGGGTGAAGACTATTTTTATCCTAAACTCTGTAAATCTCACAAAGCCTAATATAGTTTCATGTATTTGATAGGCACAGAAGAGTAAGTCAATGACATTGATGGGATATTTACTGAAAGTTCAGTGGAAGGCACTGGACAGTGATTCAAGTGGAGATACCAGATTAGACCCTGACCTCAAGGAGCTTACAGTTTAGCTAGGGAGGTGATCAAATACACCTGAAACCACTTGAGAATAATTACAAAGCAGCATAAGCTATAAATGTAAAAACAGCATTCTGGTGACAATTCACAAGGGCCGAAGGGGTAGAGAGCAAAGACAGGAATAGAATGGAGGAAGGATCAATCAGGGAAGGCTACAGAGATGCCTCTCATTCTGAATCTTGTGAATGACAAGGGAATATTATCCACTTTTAAAGCAATCTAAATATATCTGCATATGCTAATAAGCCTAAAATATTCAGAATTTCTCTTTTACTGAAGCTACCAGTCAATACAGAGTGGTGGAATGAATGTATCCATGTACTGGGATTTCCACATTATGTATAAAGAAGGACATATGTGCACAAGCTCGTGCATGTATGTACATGGAGAAACACACATGCAAAGTGCATGTTGTACACACACACACACACACACACACACACACATTGCTAGCTACTGGGGGGACTGAACTGCACAATGCTCTGTGTGCTAGATTTGGACAAACCTGTTGGAAAGGTCTAGTTTGGGCTTGCTGTCTGAGGAGCCGCTGTTGCTGCTGCTGCTGCTGCTGTTGCATGAGTTTCATCTGGATCAGCTGCTGCTGGGATGTGATTGCGTGGATGGAGGGAGGTTGCATCATGGTACCCGAACGTCTTTGCAGCATGTTGGAAAGGGCTTGCTTCGTGTTGGTGGGGACAAAGGAACCCGTGGGATCCAGTCGGGAGCCACCTAGAAGGAATTACACATGTAGAGAACTTTCTCAAGATGCTGCGTACCAGGGCAATGATCGGTAAAGAACCCTGAGCCTCTAGAACTCTAGTGACTTCTTTTGTCAAGCTTAGAGTCAGGAAAGAATTTGGAAACCAACCAGGCAAAGGAACATTTAAATAAATGTTTATGGGTTCGAGTTATTTTATTATAGCAAAGGAAAAGAGCTCATTTTGCAGAAATGAGAGTGGGGGGCAGTAGGGGATAAAGGAACCCAGATTAGACTCTGTGGTTCTAGGACTGATTAGGGGTTTTTGAGAACTCAAATACCACAGTTCACTATGATTCTACTTTTTTTTTTTGGTGAGGCAATTGGGGTTAGTTAGATGACTTGCCCAGGGTCACACAGCTAAGTAAGTATCAAGTGTCTGATGCTACATTTGAACTCAGGGGCAGTGCTCTATCCACTGTGCCACTCAGCTGTTCCTGATTCTAACTTTTTAAAGGCTAAAAGGAAAGGCAGTGTGAAAAGCAGATAGAGAGAGGGCCACTTTATCAGGAAGACATAGGCAGGAAGTCTTGCCTCTGAAACATAACTGGCTGTATAACCCTACACAAGTCACATAAGCTCCCAATGGCCCTGGTAAATCCGTCATGCTCTCTTGCCTCGCAGGGCAGGCCCCTTGAGCTGAGGATGAAGGAATGAGCGCTTGGCTCGATACAGCCCTGCCTCTGCCATTTACTGATGGCATGGACATTCTCAGTTTTATCCTCTCTTTCTCTTAGTTCATAGTTTAGGATATATTCTGCTATTAAGGAAACATCTCCATTCTAGATCCCAAACTAGAGATTTCCCTCCTGTAATTCCAAAATATGCATTTACAAATTTACTTAGAGATACAGTCCTACTCTCAAGTAATTAGTAGTCTCAAAAGTTTCCCTCCCCAAGATTTAAAACAATGATTGTGGCCTCATATCCAACAGTATGACATGACAATTTTGAAAACCTTATTTGACCTCGGGTGGCATTAATACAAGCAGAGGGGATAGGGAGTGCACCTGTGATTTTAATCGTAATGGGGACTCTTCTCAAGACTTCTTTTTATCATTTTTTTGCAACTCTGAATCTTAGAGTTGTCTTAGCGATTCAATAGGGTCACACAGCCAGGATATGTCAGTAGCAGGACTTGAATTCAGGCCTTTCTGGCTTCAAGGCCAGGTCTCTATCTACTATGTCACAATGCCCTGAGAAGCATGGAATGCCCCCAAAGTTCAGCTGTACTCTGCCCGAGTCAGATCACATTTTTTGCAATGTGTTCAATTCTAGGTACCACATTTGAGGAAGGATGTTGACAGGCCACATCATGTCCAGAAGAAGAAGAAGAGCAGGACTACAGATGAAGCTACACAAGAATTGAAGGATACTTTCGTTTGGAGATTGGCCTGAGGGGAAGAGGGGAGTGAAGGGTGAGAGAGGCAACCAGTAAACATTTATTAAGCTCCCACTATGTGCTGGGCATTATGCTAGGCTTTGGGGATACAAAAAAAAAAAAGGCAAAAGACAGTCAGTCCCTGCCCACAAAAAGGTCACAATACAAGGAATAAATGTCATGGACAAATTGGAAGGCCACACCTAACAAGTCTGGCCTCAGAGAGCAGAACCAGGAGTCACAGAGGAAACTGCAGAAAAACAGATTTTGGCTAAATGTAAGAAAATTTAAAAAAGCTTTATAACAACATGAGCTGTCTAAAGCTGTCTAAAAACCAGAATGGCCTCCCTGTGGAGGGGAAGAAGTTTCTCTTATGGAAGGTCTTCTGGCAGAGTTTGGGGTGGTCACTTAATAAAGATGTTTCTGAGAGGATTTTTGTTCAAGTATAAGTTGGACTAGCTGATAGGGTGCCTCATTTGGAATTTGATACAGGCCCTAGGTTTGAATCCCAGCTCTGCAACTTACTACCTGGGGTAGTAAAATAATCTCTGTGCCTCAGTTTCCTTTTCAGTCAAATCGAAGAGGTGGTCCCTTAAGGTTCCTCCCAGCTCTAAATCTATGATCCTATGATCTCAGAGGTCCTTTCCATTCTAAAATTCTATGATTCCATGACAATATAACCCTTAAAAACAGCAATTAAATAATCCCTGGTCTTCATGGTAACTTTTATATACAGGGCACTCACCTTTAATACCCTAAATCTAATGAGTCTAGCACAGAGCTGGCATCTAACGACCTTCATTAATGAATCTGTGTATAGAAAGTGCAAGCTTTGGCTATAGTTTCACACAACAGGCATAATTAACAGACAATTATTTTATGGTTAAAAAAAAGGAGGAACTCTACGATCAACCTAACGTCTACTGTGTATTTGAGGCTGATTGATGCAATCCTGCTTCTTGCTGGTGAGTCAGAGAAATGGATTAATCACAGAACATCAGGCTTAGCAACATTTCAAAGATTTTGACAAAAAAAGTTCTGGCACACCCCAAAAACCAGAAGTGGCCAATGTGTTAAAAAGAGAACTCAGCACTTCTTGGCTCCTATTTTTAAAACAAACCTCTCACAACCCTGAAAAAGACCGTCTGAGCCTAATAAAATCAAAATTGCTTAATGTCACATGGCGAGTCGTTGCTTCAGAAAACACCTTCCACATTCTGAAGCTTATCCATTTTATGAAGGAGAATGGCAGTCTCGCCCTTAAAAAATATTTTGATGTGTATTTAAATAGAAGTTAATTGCTATTCTTTGATCAGAAATATTTTCTTCTTACGGAAAAGAAATAAAATTCTCTTGGGGTTTAATAATAAAGATAACTATGAATCAGTGAAATGTCCAACTATGACACTAACCACAACAATGTCCAAGCCTGACAGACTATTAAGAATCTATGTTGAATAAACTGTACAGACAAAAACAAAAATTACACCTTTATTCTACAGGATGTGGTACACAAAAGGGTGTCCGACACACAGTATTATTATCTAATTTGCCCAAGCTATTTAAAAATTGACCAATACAGGGCAGCCAAGTGGCACAGTGGATAGAGCAATGACCCTGGAGTCGGGAGGACCTGAGTTCAAATCTGGCCTCAGACAAATGATACTCACTAGCTGCGTGACCCTGGGCAAGTCACTTACTCCTATTGCCTCGCCTAAAAAAAATTTTTTTGATCTACACAAAATCAAGTAAGTTTAGTAAAATAACTGGCTTTCATTCATGTAAATATCCATTGATACTTATTTATCCCTTAAGTGTATAAAATACTGTACTAGTCAATATGAAAGACAGGGAAATAAAATATAAACGCTGCCTGAAGGCATCTTACCATGCTTTGTTCTAAAGATGATGCGAACAGACCAGACAACTTTCTCTTTCATTTATAATCAGCACTCATTACTTAAAATGGTTCTATAAATAAACAGCTTTCTTTCAAGACCAATATTAATACATACACATACAGGTATGGCTTTTATTTTAAACAAAATGAAGGGATGAGGGGAGGGACGAGATGGGGAGAAAATGTGGAACTCAAAATATCGTGGAAGTGAATGTTGAAAACGAAAAACAAATTAATTAATTAATTAAGATAAATAAAATGAAGAAGGATCCTGGCAGAAATTCTGGTGTTCTAAGCAACAATATCAGTAAAATATCAATAAAATTTTATTTTGTTTTATTTGTTAAAAAATGAACTCTGTATGAAGGGAATATCACACCTTCCTATAACCAAGTATCCAAGTCCTTATTCCCTGGGGCGATTATGCAGAATTTCACTGATTTATATGGCTGTTTCAGGTCTATTAAAAAAAATCTTCTAGGGAAGGGGGGGAAAAAACCAAGCCTCACTGATGAGCACCACGATCTTGTTACATCTTTCTCTTACCTGGTGCAAGTGACTGATTCTGCAGGAAGAAGCCAGGCTGTTGCGGTTGTCCCATAATGTTATAACCCCACAATGCTGACTGAGGGTGGTGCATCATTTGGGAGGAAATTGGTGAATAATTGGGAGGCACTCGGTAAATGTTGTTCTGTGTATAGTCCTTCAACATACATGGTAAGAAGAAACGATATTACAATCCACATGCTACATGAATAATGCAGATTCTTCCTACAAAGTTATTTGAGACATGTCCCTTGTAGGCTGCAAAGCTATTTTTAAAGACATAAGGAGGAGAGAGAGTGCCAGTTAGCATGCTCTCTGCAAATCTCTCCCCCTGCTTCAAAAATCGGCTGAAGGGAAAGATTTTAGTTAAGATACACTGTGCTGTGTGCTGCTTTTATGATGTCAGATGACTGATAATGAACACAAGGCAGAGTTAAAACAGTGTACTCAGCACGGAGGCCAATTCCAAAGGGACCCAAAACTCGCCTCAAATTTTCTGGGCAAACAAAGTAGGGCCTCACTCAAACCATCCCTGATGTGGAGCAATGTGGAAGCGGGTAAGTGCTGGAAGTTAAAATTAAAACTACAAAAGGAGTGAAGGCCAAAAAGAATGTTTTGGTGCCCTCCACTTTCAAGGGTAGCAACAGAGAATCCTCATTAGGTTTTTTTTTTTGCAAGAATTAGAAGTTTGATGACATTTAGAAAAAATATTTGCATAAGAAAGAATGTTTCGGTTTTGAGAACAAGAAGTAACCAATGATTGTGATCAGTCAATGCCATTTTGTTTGGTCGTTTTTCGGTCGTGTCTGACTGACCCATTTAGAGTTTTCTTGGCAAAGTTACTGGAATGGTTTGCCATTTCCTTTCCTAGCTCATTTTACAGATAAGGAGATTGAGGCAAACAGGGTGACTTGCCCAGGGTCACACAGCTAGTAAGTGTTTGAGGCCAAATATGATCTCGTGAAAATGAGTCTTCTTGCTTGTGCCCACCGTGGCAGTAACTGGTATATCTAGGGCTAGAATCCGGGTTCTCAGATCTAGCACTCTATTTTGCAATGAACCAAAGAGTCAACCAATAGGTCCTCCTTTTGGTTAGTGTTATCTAAATTATGTGTCAGGGGACAGGACCAATGCCCACCAATGGACCAACCATGTTATAACAAGCTTAGATGTTTTAGGGCAACGTGCTCTAACCACCATACTCAGGAATCTGTGTAATAATGCCTGGGTTCTCTTATACTCACATCAACTCTTGAGTTTGATTTTGTCTTGCGCTTCCTTCCTTTTGTCTTCTTCTCCTCATCGGCTGCCGTTTTTCCCTGATCTGACAGCTCAGTGGATTTTCTTTCTGGTTCCTGAGAGACGGGTGTGGTTGGCTCTTCCTCTTCCTCCTCAGGAGGCAGAGGGAGAGGCTCGAGGTAGTAGCTTCGGGGCTTGGGGGTAGGGTGGGTATGGTAGAGGAGAAGATGATGCTGTTCCTCATACTTGATCACCTTTCTGTCCACTCGAACGGTCCCAAACCAGGCCCAAGAGAGTGGAGCTGGATTTTTGTGACCCTCAAATAAGTCCCACGGGGATACCTTCTGTTTTGTGGACACCTGGAGACCCTATTTCCAAAAGAATGGTCTATGAAGCCACCAATGAAAACATATGATAGCCAAACTATAATATAATAATATACAGCCAAACTATAAATTAAAAGAAAAATATTTAAATAAAATTAACACATTTAAATATATAATATATTTTAAATTAATCAAATGTAATAAATTTTTAAAATTTAAAAAAATTTTTAAGGCAAATACTCTTAGGATATATATTTTTTCCCTTTTTTAAGGCAAACAGTTGTGTGCCCAGGGCCACACAACTAAAAAGTGTTTGAGGCTGGATTTGAACGCAGGTCCTCCTGACTCCAGGGTCAGTGTTCTAAACATTATGGTGCCCCCTAACTGCCCCTTACTTAGATCATCCACGGGTAGATTCTTTCACAGAACAAATCCTTTTACTAAGGGCATTTGTTCTGTGAAGTTTGGACTCTGTTAAAAGGCCACACCCAAGGACCTAGAAAGCCACATGTGGCCTTGAGACCACAGGTCCCCCACCCTTGAGTCATATTCTAACCACACTTTGAATTTATGCACATACTCAAGTTATACTAGTATGAAGCCACATCATGACCCATCTCTAGGCTCCAAGTGTTCTGACTTTGTACTCTCTCTTATTAGAATATTATGGTTACTTCCAGTAGGTACTAGATCATTCTTTGTATCCTAGTAGAGAGGCTGCAATAGAGATGGGACTAAAATGCTTGGTGATCATCTTTTTCATTAGCTATTTGTAGAGGTTATATATGTGTGTACATATACACATATAATAGAAATGACATTTTAACTTAATTTTTTGGAAACAAACAAAAAATCCCCTACCCTTTCCCCCTTATTTCACTCAAAGTACCTCCAGCACTTCAATAAATATTTTTCTGTCCAGTTACTAACAGAGGGAGGCTATTAAACACCTACAGATTCATTTATTAGTTCTTTCTGTCAGACACTCCAGTATCATAAAAACCAAATTCCTTTCATTTCCACTGAAGTTTCTATTAACTTCACTACAATTCCTTTTCAGAGCACAAACCCATTTCTGCCAGCCTTATAGAATGGCGTATGTTAGGTCTGAAGAGAAAAAACAAACACAAAATGAGTTTTTGCACTAAGTCTTTTGATGTTTTCTTTGTTGAGAGGTCTACAAAAGAATTTTAGTCTAAATTACACCAAAAATAATTTATTTCTCATCTAGAACCACAGATCAGGGATGGGAGATGGAATCTAATCCCACCCTCACATTTTGCTAAGGAGGAAACTCAGGCCCAGAGAGCTAAACTATTTTGCCCAGCATCACACAGATAGTAAGTGGAAGAGTCAGAATTCGAACTCAGGTCCTGTGACGACAAATTCAATGCACCTTCTTCTGCTATCTCTCTCTGCCTTTCTGTATTTTAGAGCATCTGTTTCAGTGCCTTGAACATAGTAGGTTCTGATGTTTGCTAATTTATTGATAATTAATAATGATGAGCAATTGTTAATTATAATACTACAATTATATAGTAAACTAATTATCATTATTAACTAGAACTATCAATATATGATGGTAATTATAATCATAATTAATGAACAACAAATGTTAGTAAACAGTATCTAATCCAACCCCTTCATTTTATAGACAAGGAAACCAAGGCCCAAAGGACTAAAGTGCCTGGCCCAACATCACCCAGGTAGTAACTGGAAGAGTCAGGATTTGAAACCAGTTCCAATGATTATAAATCTGCCTTTCTGTAGTTTAGAGTGAGAGCCTTGAGCATGGCAGGCTCTCAAATGTTTGCTGATTTGCTGATAATGAACAACTCTGCTTGATTTCAAGCAAAGTTTGATGATAAAGCTGTACTATTGTCTTGCATAGAACTAGAGCTGTTTGTTAACTTTATACTTATATCTACAGACTGTCCTATGAATTTCACTGATTTAAACACGATACTCGGCTCTACTTTTGTAGCATCATTTCACAGTCTTACAACAAATCTACCAATCGCTAAGTACTTTTCACACATTATTTCATTTTATCTTCACAAAGGACTTTCACAAAGGCAGTACAGCATGGCAGACAGCTGGTCTCACAGCCAGGAAGTTCAGTCTCTGAAATCTGTGACCTGGGGCAAGTCACTTAAAACTCTCAGTGTTCTAGACAGCTCTTTAAGACTTTCAGTTACAGATATGGAGTTTCCTCAGCTGGGAATTCCTTATCCTAATGAAATCACAGGCCTAAGTCCCGCGCCCTATCTCTAAAACCCCTATGCAAAAAGGAAGGCAGACCAGGTATTATTTCCATTTTGCAGAGAGAAAAAAAGTGGGGCTTAGGTAAATGACATGCCCGTGAGCATTCAGGGATGGTGACTGTCAGAGGATGACTTTCAGAATCAGATCTTTTGCCTCCAAATCTTCAAGGCTTTCTTCCTTCCTTTCTCTTCATCCTCACCATTCAGGAACGAACACACATGGGCCAAATGTATGGTGTTTAGCCACTTCCCCATTACCGAGCGATTTAAAGATTAAACAGTATCCACAAACCGCCAAATCAGGTTACCCCAAGAGGGTGGTTTTCCACTGCCTACTGAGCTAAAAGACTTCACCAGTTACTTGGGATGCCCTGGTAGTGTCTCATCCAAAAGTGTATGCCATTCATTCACAAGGCCAAGGCAAAGCTGGAGGAGATAGGCGGGGTATATACATAGTTAAAAAAAACACCATTTCCTCTTGCCTGTTTCTTATCTATGGAGTCGAATCCTGCAATTTTGTTGCCTTTTGTGTCAATCAAGGACCCCATGGGCTCACAAGTGATGACATCACAGGTCTGCTTGGGCAAAGGCAGCAGCTGGCGAACTCTGTCAATACTCTCTGACCGTTTGTCCCCCAGCTCTTTCTAGAGGAAAAGAGAAGTGGGAAGGAACATTACAGAGGTGGCAGAAAAGAAATGAGGAAGCTCCATTATGCAATATTTCCTTTTCCTCTGTGTGGATGCTCTGAAGAACTTTATTTTATGCTACATTACTATTTGTGTGTGTGAGTTTTGTGTGTTGTGTGTTTTAGGGGGGACGGGGAGGAGGGCACTGTTAGTTCTGTTTTGATTCTTTTTCATTTCTTCAATTCAAGGCAAAAAAAAAAAGCACATAAATAAAAGCAACGCACCCTTGCCCAATAAACGACAAAGGACTAACATGACCCAAGATACAGGGTGGCATGAGAAGTCAGAACACAGGAGCTGATCCCTGAAAAGCTCTCACACGTGCGAGGGCAGACCACGGAGCAGCTCTCCGTCATTTTGTTGGTAAGGCAGCTGAATGCTTTGATTTTTTTTGGGGGGGGGTGTTCTTTGGATGTGGTTTTTACTGGAAGTGATATGTTTGTGGTTAATGAAAAAAACCAGATATCAGAAGTTTCTAGCACTATGATAATTTCTTATCAGATGCCACAGTGGCACCATCTGTCTCAAGCTAATTTGGGCATTCGGCCTGTTTATTTGTGTAGTTCTTCTTAAAGTACCTTCTGAAAAAATTCTCTCTGTGCTATAAAAAGAGAAATAATGTCAGAAGTCGAATCCTGAGAGTTTCTGGGAGCTATACATCAGAGCGATAGGCACAAAATTCAAAGCATGTATCATTTTAATCATTTTTCTTCAGCTAACAGGATATAATAAGAATTGTGAACGAGAAACATACTTTCAATTTCTTCACTAGATTCATGTAGGCCCTCTTGTTTTCTTCGGCTCCACCCTGGGAAGAGCTTGACAGGTCAGAGGCTAAGGTTCCATTGATCAGGACACCCAGCATGTCAAGAACCGTGGTGAATAATTCACTAGGAGGGGGGTGAAGATTAAAAAGTAATAATAATAATAATAAGTTTCATTTCAGAAAAATAATGACACCCATAGGTTAGCCAAGCATTCTCAATTGCTTTCTTTCAATGCAAAGAGGTTTGAATGTACCCAAGAAAATAGGTTGTTGCAGAATAAAAAGAACACACTACACCACACATGCAGGAAGAGAAATTGGAAATGATAAAAAAACATACTTGTTAGTCTGCATGTCAACAGTTCCTGATGTAATTATCTGAAGGAGCAGAAGTGCCCAGTCTGTGGTCCACTGGGTACTTCTTTGCACAGTGTCAAACATTCCTCCTACCTAGCATGTAAAATACAACAGAAGGTTGCATTATAGATAACCAAGAGGGAACACCACCACTATTACTCTCGGCACCCCAGGGGGGATTAGTCAGGGTCTGATCATTGGCGGGCTGCCCTGGTCACTTTACCCTCTTGCTCTCTCCCTGGCTTCCCTTTCTCCATTTGTTGGGGGAAAAGCAGTAAACTGTAGAAGTGTCAAGATTCTTCACATCTGGAAAATCTGAGCTAAGTTATAGTAGAGGAAAAAATGGGAGGTCAGTTTGAACTAAAGAAAAATCTGGTTTACAATTTTATAATCAGTATCTGGGGGCTTTTAGGTACACAGAAAGAACAGAGCTAAGCTAGTAAAGCATTTCAAAGAAGCCATCCTAATCATTTTACAACCAGAAACCACCTCCCTCTCCCTCTTGAGATTGCCTGGCATTCTCTCCATTCTACAGTGGAGAAAAGTGAGACACGGAGGTCTCACACCTAAGACAGTGGCAGACTAAAACTAGTAGGACTCATGTGATTTGCTTTCCCTTGTCACTGCAATGCACTCTTCATTGTCCTTCCTACCCTTTCTATCAGGTCCTACTAGATCAGGTTCAAGACCCCCAGGCTAGACAAAGTCTGAAATAAATACCTGCTGTGACCTCCTAGGGAAGGTAGCCAAACCAAAAAGAAACATAACAAAGTAACAAGGAGAGTTGATACAGCAATAATGGAATGAGCCACTTTGTATTACACAGTCTGCATGGAGGACCAGAAATGGAAGTTATTTTCATCTGATTAATTTCTAATTTGATTCAAGTAATGAAATAAGAAAGCTCCAAGTATTTCCCCTACCAAATTAAGACGTAGTTGTAACGCCTCATGCATCATTTGCCTTGCTTTAACATCGTCCTGGTAACGTTCTTCTCTCCAGTTACTTAAAATCTAAGATTGAAAAAGAAACGTTTTTCTGTTAGAATTGGATTTTTCTCTTGTATGATATGAAAATGTTTCTTTCATTGCCTTCCCATGGCAAACTTCAGACCCTTTGGTGAACTGCAATTACTGGAGAACAGCAATTTTTCAAAGCAACAAAAAGCTTATTATCTGCTTTTATTTTATCTTAGTCATTTGCTTCTGTCTTAGCTATTCTTCCTCCTTCTTAATATAAGAACTTTGGTAATTTTATTGCTTCTCTGAGCCAAGAGCAGGGGCAGGTAGAGGAAGAGAAATTCAAATCAGTCACTTTCACTCCCTCAACATTTCTGACAATAATGATTTTTTTGTTGCTGTTGTTGTCGTTGTTAAGGACAGGGGAAGCAATACAAAGTAAAACAGAGGTCCCCAAAATGTGGTCCAGGGACCTCTAGGAGTTCCCAAGGTCCTTTCAGGAGTCCTGCAAAGTCAAAACTGTTTTCACAATAATACTAAGATGTTTTAATTTCAAATAAAGTAAATGTTAATGGGAGCAGCTAGGTGGTGCAATGGATAGAACACTGGGCTTGGAGTTGGGAAGACTCAACTTTGTGAGTTCAAATCTGGCCTCAGACACCAGCTGTGGGACCCGAGGCAGGTTCCTGGGGGTGGCAGTCCTAGATAAGTTTTTAAAAGCATAAAGAGGTCCTGAGCCACCCAAGTTTGACAGTCAGTAGACTAAAAGGCAGCTTGTGTGCTTGCTGTCTGCGGTTTCCAGCCCCAAGTGCCACGTAATCCCTCCTAGCAGAAGTAGTGGGAGAAGCAGGACTAGCTTGTTTTCTAGGAAAAAAGGTTTGCCAGGAGGCGGTGGAGAGTCAGGGAGACCTGGGTTCAAGTCCTGTCTCTGACGTATATGGCAGCATGACATTGGATAAGTCACTAAATCTCTCAGTGCTACAGGCAGCTCTCTGAGGTGGTGACCTGCGCTGGTCAAAGGAGCTTCCTCACCCAGAAGGTCCTCTCACCGGTGAAATCAGACGCGCGAATCCTAGCCTATCTTAGCCTATCCAGAGGCACAGCTGTATTATGTTGTTATTCAAGGATCCTATTCTTGAACCTTTTAAATACAGAAGAGAGTTAATGTCCTTGGCACAGCACGCATTTTTATGCACATGCTATGCAGAGCATAGCAAGAGTTTCCATCTGGTATGTGTTCAGTCATTTTCAGTCATGTCCAACTCTTCATGGCCCCACTGGGGGTTTTCTTGGCAAAGATACTGGAGTGGTTTTCCAGTTACTTCTCCAGCTCATTTTATAGATGAGGAAACTGAAATAAAGAGAGTTAAGTGACTTGACCAGGGTCACATTGCTAGGAAGTGTCTGAGGCCAGATTTGAACTCAGGAAGATGAGTCTTCCTGACTCTAGGTCCAGCACTCTAATGACTAAAGAGGTGTGTTCTCTTTGTATTAGACTAGTGAGTAGAGAGTATGTCAAAACCACAAATAATTTGGACAATGTTAAATATGTACAAAGCTCCTTGATAAGGAATCTAACAGAGAAAATGTGTCACAGCTGACACCAATGTATTTCCCAAACTCATCCAGGGACCAGATGATTTCCCAAGTCTTCATCACACCTAGACTGTCTAAGCTGTAATTCCTGTAAGATAAGATGCAATCTAATTAACTGAAAAAGGACTGAGAAAAAGCCATTAGATTTAGCAAATAAGAGACCACTGGTAATTTTAGAAAGAGTAGCTTCAGTTGAATGATGAGGTCAGAAGCCAGACTGAAGAAGGTCCAGAATAAAGTAAGAGGAGAGGAAGGGGAGGGAGGGAGTGTAGTATATTCTTGGTAGAAGAAATGTAAACAACCCACATTCTAACATAATCACATGAGTTGTCCCATAGGTCTCACCTTCTGCATCTACATCTGGAAATGAACTCAAGAGATGATCTAGTCTAATCTCCTTACTTTAGAGAGAAGAAAGCACGTGAGGCTCAGTGTCAGATAGCAGTAGAATGTGGAATAAAACCAAGTGTCCCAAATCCCTGTCTAGTGCTTTCTCTAATATCCTACCCTTTCTGCTTCCACGATCACTAGGAAACCTTTGATGGTTGCACTGTTTTCACTGACACCTTTCACTGACACTGATACCAGGAAAGGGGTGCTAGAAATGTACATCTCTTCATTATAAATTCATAATTTCACATTTTAGCCTAAAAATTAGGATCTTGACTTTTGATTAGCCTGATTTAGCTCCTCAGAGCCAGATCATCTGAGCTGGTAAAATTATACTTCCAAACCTGCTAAGTTTTAGGTCACCCCAGCAAAGTGGAGAAAAAAAAAATAAAAGGGCATCTTTCAGGCCTCTGTCGACATATGCCACCTTCTTACAAATGCATACATCAGACTTTTCTTCCATTTATGGGGAGAAATGATGAGATGTGTTGTTTGATTATTGAAATCTACAGTTAATATCATTAATCAACTGATTACCAATTTGATTAATCAATTTGATTACTGAGGTTCGCGGTAGATGGAATCAAGCTGAAATCAGTCTGTATTTATGTGTCTGTTGTGTTACAGTTTGGAACTGTGAGCTAGGCAGATCTGTTAGCAGGGTGTTTTAATTTTATTCATTTAAATTACAATGAACTAGTCAAGTTTTAAAAGTGTTTTTCTAGCAATAACTATAATTCAATATAATAATAAAAATCATAACAGTTATCTTTTATATGTGCTTTAATGTCTGCAAAAGGCTTTACAAATATTATTCCATTTGATCCTTACAACCACCCTGGGAGGTAAGAGCCGTCATTATCCTCATTTTACAGATGAAGAAACTGAGACTGATAGAGGTTAAATGATTTGCCCAGGGTCACACAGCAGGAAGTACCTGAGGCTGGATTTGAACTCAGGTCCTCCTGACTCCAGTTCCCATGCTCTACCTGCTTTAAGTTGTTTGTGATCCCATTTGGGGTTTCCTTGGCAAAGATACTGGAGAGGTTTGTCATGTCCTTCTCCAGTTCATTTTACAGACGAGGGGGGTTAAGTGATTTGCCCAGGGTCACACGGCCAAGTTTGAATTCAGGTCTTCCTGACTGCAAACCCAGCACTCCTAGCTGCCCCTGTATGATTTAGCTGCTTATAGTTAGTTTTCTTTGTAATTTTATTTCAAGCATTTAAAAACACTGATCTGAGAAAGGCTCCATAAACTTCCCCAGAATACCCCCAAACTAAGAATCTCTGCTTTAGATAAAGGTGGCTGAGGGGAGGGGAGAGGGGGGGAATGTGTTTGCTGATGATCTTCAAATCCAAGGTTCAAAAGGGGAACCACAAAACTGGTGACTGTGAAATCCACGTCTGGCTGGCTCCATAGCATACATCTCCGTTACCTGATTAACTTGGTTTTGCAGGGATGTCAGGAGTCCTTCCCGCTGCTCATCCTGTCCCTTAAGGCAGGTAAGCACCAATGAGAGGAAAGGTTGCTGACTTAAGAGAGACATACTATAAAGGAAACAAAAGGAGCAGATTAAGTTAGGAGAATGGATTATCACTTCCTGTCTCCTCCTAATTTCTTCCTTCTGGTTGTTTGCTTTCATTTGTTTTACTCTTAAAAAGAAAAAAGAAGGAACTCAGATGGAATTTATATAAATCACATCTTTGGTAATAAGATTTTAGAAGCAGTACAATATTTTCAGGATTATAATACGTCCAGAGAGGGCAGAGAGTAAAAGACTCTTTGGTTTCCTAATGGGGGAGAAGAGTAGGGTAAGTGGGAAATTAGCACGTCACTCCAATAAACAGAACTGAAAAATCCACATTCAAAACATTATGGATGAAGCCATGGCCTTTCAGATTAAAACTGAGAGAATATCATATTTTAGGCATAGAAAGGACCTTGTAGATCATTAATCCAGTAGTAACAAAAATTTAAATTTAAGGGTCCAGTCTATCTGCAAAACTATGAAACTAACCAGTGTCTCTTCATAAAGATCACTGAATCTGATTACATATTTTTCTGAAGGCCTGTATAACACATTACTAGTTCATTCTCCTCATTTCATGCCTAAAACAAGACCAAAGTTTAAACATCTGGGCAATGTTTCATCTTGTCCAAAGGATGATTCGCACAGAGATCAAAGGATCACTGACTTAGAGCTAGGAGGGGCCTTAGGAGCCACCACCTAATGTGACTATCCCATTTTACAGATGAGGAAACAGTAATAAATAACCGGCCCAACATCACATATACAAAATGGCAGGGCTAGGATTGGAACCCAAACGTGCTACCCTGTATGATGGGAAGAGGCAGCGTCACAGTGTAAAATTCTAAGTCTGGATTCAGAATACACAGGTCTAGGTATTGACTATGGGCCAGTCATTGAACCGCTCTGGGCTGCAATTTCTTTATCTATAAATCTGTCATAATAATCATCACACTACCAACCTAAGATTTGTTGTGAGAAAACACTCTGTCCATAGAAAAGCACATTAAAAACTCAAATTTGCCCATAAATTTTACACACTGCTGTAGGAATTCCATAATTGGTGCTCAACAAATATTTGTTGCATTGAATTACAAACCAAGTTATATTCAATTACAATTGAATTACAAACTAAAAAAAAAAACCAAAAACAACATTCCTAGAGAGTCCATTGACACAGGCTTGGGGTGGGGTTGGGAGTACAGTTAAACTGATGAGGGGAAAAATACCCACCGTCTTTTTTTCAGGCAAAATAATGTGAAAAACAGTATAGAAAATGTTGGCACAGTAAGGTCAGGGAGTGGTCATGAAATTTCTTCCAACTATGAAATCAGCATCTGGATTTGTTTTGGTGGTAATAATAACAACTCACATTTATATAGCACTTTCAGGTTTAACAAGTACTTTATTGACCTCAACTGTTTGAAGTCAACCGTATATATAGATTTCATTTTACAGGAAAGTGACTTGTCCATGGATACACAGTAAATGCAGCAGCAGTTAAATGGTATAATGAAGAATGCTTGGATTAGAGACAAGTGGACCTGGGTTCAAACCCTGCCACAGATACTAGCTGTGTGACAAAAGGGCAAGTCACTTAAACTCGGCTTCAGTTTCCTCCACTGGAATAACGAAAGGGCTTTCAAATGTTTGACCCTATGGTCTTCTGTCTGCTTTTGGATACTGGATGGAATTCTCTCTTGACTTCAGTATTAGGAATCTTCATTTGTCAGTCATAGTATCATTTTGCAAATCTAATTGCTTTAAATCATCTTATTTTGAAGAAAAAGAGGAACTGAGAACAATACTGGGAAGTATAAGGCTGAAAGCAATTTGAGTCATTGTGTGGTTGAACTATGATTCCACAGTTACAAGGATTCCCTATGATCCACTGGACTTCAGCAGCTCAGAATTTTCCTTCGTTTTCTACACCTGCCCCTTGCATTGGGATTTTTGGCTGGAGGAGCTGGGTCAGCACAGAAATATTCCAGTAAACCTTTTCCTTTCAATCACTGTCTGTTGGAGGCCAGGCTGCTTGCTGTCTGTGTGTCAAAGATTCGGAATTCTGATGGCAAGAAGCATTTTATCCAGTCTTACCTTTTTTGCTTTTGTCTATCTCTTTCCTTCTTTGAGGACGATCCCAAGTGCTGTCCTTTCTCCAGTTCTTCCCCAGCAGCTTTTAGCACCCTGCCCTGAACGGAAGTGGGCAGCTTTGCAATGAGGGGCGCCACCAGCCACACACCCCTGCGTTCAGAAGAACTAAAAACCACAGGAAAATTGTAAATCACCACCTTCCAAAGGTCACCTTCCCTTCCTCTGCTCCTCTCAAAATGGATACACAAAGCTAGAACCCCAGTCAAGCTGCCCAAGCCAAATCATGATATTAACAAAGGGCCTTCCTGTCTGTCTTTGTACATTCTGGGCAGTCCTTTGTACACGGTGGGTGCTCAGTGTTTGTTGAATTAAATTGAATCTTGCCACGCAAACATCTGAGTTCAACCCAGCCATTCTGGTGGAAAACAAATGTTAGAGATGACAGTAACCAGCTGGTAGAATCTACAAAATGTTTTAGAATATATGAGGAAAAAAATTACTTTTGATTAAAAAAATATTTGGGAGTTTTTTGTTTTATCCCACATCCCCATGATTTTTTTCAGAAGCTGAGATTTTCAAATTCTCTTTCTTCAGCAGAATAAATTCTCTGCCCAACAGTCAGCTTATTCAGTCAACTAGTCAGCTGAAAAGAGAGTTCACATGCATATCTACCTAAAACTTGGATTTCATCAGACTGGGAAACTCCTCTCCTGGAAGCTCCCTCCATTAAAGCAGACTGTAGTCCATGTAGGTCAGGGGTGGGGAACCTGTGGCCTCCAGGCCACATGTGGCCTTCTAGGTCTTCAAGTGCAGCCCTCTGACCGAATCCAAACTTCACAGTATTCAGTCAAAGGTGCACTTGAGGACCTAGAGGGCCACATGTGGCCACAGGTTCTCTACCCATGACCTAGGTTCTGATTGATAGGTCCTAAAAAGACTGCCAGAGACTCATTGAGGTTAGGTAATTTCCTACCAGGTCACAGAGCTGGTTAAGTGTCTGATGTGAACCCAGGTCCTCTGGTCTCCACTGCTATCATCTCTTCCATTATGCTTTCATTTTATATTTTAATGTAGATAATGAATTTTCAAAGAATTAGAATAGAGCAAATGTACTGCCTTAAAAAACTACAAAATAGATTTTTTTTTCTCTTGAATGATTCAGCCATTAAAATCTTATAATGTCCTATGGGACTAGATATGCATGTATCATTTAAAAGTAACTACAAGCTATGGAAATACCAGTAATATTTTGTATTCAGTCAAGGACCCCAAGGGACTTAGTTAATATTGGTTTTTAGGCTGTGGATCCAAGGCACCAGAATTCCTATATTTTGAGTTCACATGTAAATCCCTAAAGTATTATCTACCAGTTCCCCTAGCAACCCTTTGTTAGGTAGACATAATTAGCCACTTTATTTCCCAAGTCATTGATTCTTCTTCCAGTTCCTTTTTCTGGGGGACAAGGTGGTTACAATTAATTTCGATTACAACAATCAGATTTGTTACACATCACAGAAAAAAAAAAGCCAGTGAAAAATACCTTAGGAATGTCTTTTTACCATTCTGCCTTGTGTTACTTGTGTCGCCATTTCCAATAGCGTTTGGATTGAAGAGGCCTATACCAGAGTTAGAAGAGTTATTGTTTAAATCAGCGGATTGCTGAAACACCTCTATTGTCGTCTTTGCAATATTATCCAACAAGCAGTTCATTTCAGCCACAGACCCAGAACCCTACAGTAAAACATAAGTAAGCTAGCACACTCACGGCAGGTTTAACTGAATCCAAGACCAAACCCGAACACGTTGTACTTGACGGGAAATCATTAGAACGAAAATAAAGGTCGAAAAACAAAGCAATACTCACAGGCTCCTTCATGCATTGTTTGATCATTAATTGGAGTTCCAGCCAGGACTGTCTGAGAGTCCATTGGTCTAGATTCTGGGTAAAATTTATGGAATTAATATACATAATAACATTTCACAAAGTAATACTACTGTTGCTGATTTTTTTTTAAACAGGCAACTATCTAGATAGGATTGCTTTGTTTTACAAATAAGGAAACTGAGGCTCAGAGAGGTTAAGTGAGTGGTCTGTCACACAGGAAGAGGCAGAAGCAGGTTTTGAATCCTGATCCTATCACTCCAAAGCCCTGCTAAGTAATCATTTAGATCAAGGTATTCCCTTTCCATGTATAAAAGGTATATATAGTTCCAGAACCTCTCCTGTATTTTACTGACATTTTTTTTAAACAATTTTATCTGTTCTAGGTCAAATCATATCTCATCTAGTGAAATTCTGATAACTATTAATCAGAGAACATAGAAAACAAGTTTACCCTTTTTAGGCAGGTGCCATTTGATGCAAGAGTCCTTTTGGGGTCTGTAGTAGCTTTAGGGAAATAACACTTCAGTCCTGACTGTGTATTCTTTATTTTGGATTAACGGGACGCTCCATTAATCTCCAAATGGTGAAGAGAAAGGGATAACTGATAAGTGCTTTCCCCAGATTTTGGAATAGCTTAGGTGGCTTTACTGTAAACACTTTGCCTTTGTGATTAATGCTTTGCTTAAGTGAATATTAAAATCAATCAGTCAACAAACACAGATTAAGAGGCTATGTGCCAGGCACATACAAAGAGAGCCAAAATACAGTCCCTGCCTTCAAGGAGCTCACATTCTAGTGGCGGTGATTATTAAAGTTTGTTTTGTTTATGTACCAAATGACAGGTGTAGGGAAGTGAGATTGCACTGAGAGGCCAGCCTGGGATTAAATCATTGCTTCAGGTCAACCTGGAGATGCCCATGCTAGGAATTCAGGAATAAAGGGAATCCCTCCCTCTCACCCCAGCTCACTCTCCTGCTTTATATGTTACTTAGATAAAAATTCTAGCATTAACCTAAGGAGGAAAAATCAAGATAGTTCAGTCTACTGATCAGCAGGAGTCTGTGATTATCAACACGGATTTTAATTATACCTTAGGAATAATCATAATAATATCACATATTTGTACAGGACTTGGTTTCCAAAGTGTTTACCCATATGTTGTGCTCATCTGATCCTTCCAAATTCACTTTGAGTTGAGTTGGGTGGAAAGAACTTGCACTTTGCTAAAAATGAAACATGAACTCAGAAAGGACACTTGCTCACGGTCACAGAGATGTTCCTTGATGATAGACTTGAAATTCAAAGGAACCTTAATATCCTCTAGTCAAATTCCCCTAATTTTACAGATGAAGAAACTGAGGCCCAGAGAGTTCAATGAGGCCCAAAGTTACATGGAAAGAAAGTGGCAAGGCCAGGGTTAAAATGTAGGACTCCTGACTCCAAGATCAGTGTTCTCTGCAATTCACCTACTATCTTCATTGCTGTCAACGACGGGAAGATTGTGGTCACATAAACAATATGAAATGTGATGACAAATCAGCACTATCTTGCTTCAGGGGAAATACAATGATAATAATAAGTCAATAAACATGTATTAAGCACTTAACTAGGTACTGGGCATTGTGCTATATGATAGGGATACAAAGAAAGGCCAAACAAAACTCTCCCTTCTCTCAATCAGTTTAAATTCAAATGGAAGAAACAACATATAAAGAATTACATACATAAAAGATATATATGAAGTGGACAGAAGGCACCCTTAGCAGAGAGGGAAGGCTCTGGAGGAACTGAGAAAAGTCACCTATTGAAAGGGGAGCTTGAGTGGAGTCTTGAAGAAGTCAGGGATTCTAAGAGGCAGGGGTGAGGAAGGAAAGAATGTCAGGCATGAGAGACAGCCAGTGCAAAGGCAAGGAGATGGGAAATGGTGGGTGTTGTATACGAGGAATGGTAAATAGGTCAGTATAGTAGACTGCAGGGTAGCAGAGAGGAGGAAAATGTAAGAAAATTTGGAAGGTAGAAACGAAGCAGGATGTGAAGGACTTTATAAAAGGGTTTTAAATGTAAAAATGACATGGCATTTTGAAATAATAATGCATATAAATCATTTAACACAGCAACTTGCACAGAGTTGGTGCCACACACATGTTAGCTATTAATGCTGTTATTGTTGTTAGGATGAAATGAGATTGTCTACTATGGACGTGTTTTATATAACTGCACATGTATAACCTATATTGAGTTGCTTGCCTTTTCAATGAGGGTGGGTGGGGAGGGAGGAAGAGAGAAAATTTGAAACCTAAAGTTTTAAAAACATATATTAAAAAAAAAAGTTTTCACATGCTACTGGGAAATAAGAAATACAGGAAATGGGGTACAGAAGTCTATCCTGCCCTATAGGAAAATAGAAGGGGAAGGGGATAAGAGAAGGGGAGAGAGTCAGAAGAGAGGACAGACCAGGGGAAGGGATATTCGGAATGCATGCCATCTTGGGGTGGGGGAGGGGGGAGATGGGGTGAAAATCTGGAATTCAAAAACTTGTGGCAGGGAATGTTGAAAACTAAAAATAAATAAATTGATATTAAAAAAAAGATGAGATGAGATAATATTTGCAACCGTGCTTAGCACAGTGCTTGGAACATAGTAGGTGCTTAATTTTATTAATATTTTTCAGACAGTTTCTATTAGAATGTAAAAATCACTTAAAATATCTATTAACTATTTTCTAAATTAGCACTGACATACATAGCAGGTGCTTAATAACTCTTTGTTGAAGCTGAACTGATGTTAATAAGACTTTCACAGAAAAGTGTGAACCCAGAAACTCAGCAGATCAAAAACTTGCACAGCTGTAAGTTAGCACTGCTCTGGAGGCATTGTACTTCCAGGAACGTCAAGCTTCAAAAGAGCCACGTGTGCTTTCTAATAAGAACAGGCTAAATCTGTAGAAAAGTGAATGAAACATGGCAATGTTGGCAGTCTTGCATTTCAGAATGGTGTTAGGCACCAAAACAAATACAGTCCCAAATGACAAAGTACTTATTTTCACTCTTCAGATTTCCCTGATGTTTTCTATGATGAATACAAACGATTTCACTCAGCATAACTTCCCGGGAGCCTACTTTATGCAAGGCACTCTGAGACATAAAGATGTACAGACATGCACCACAGTTCCTGCCCTCAAATAGTGTCCATTTTGATAGGGCTGATGAGGTTGCATGTAAATAAAAAAAATACAATACAGAATTCATGAAATGCCATCGAAGAAATGCAGGTATTCTGTGTGTGTGTGTGTGTGTGTGTGTGTGTGTGTGTGTGTGTGTGTGTGTGTGTGTGTGTACACACACACGAATTTCTAGGACAGACTACAGGAGAATATGATTAATTTTTCTGGGCTTCAATTTTCTCATCTGTGAAATAAGAAACTAGGTCTAAACCAGCTCTAAGGTCTCTTCTAGCTCTAAAAGCCTAGTGGATAGATAGAGCACTGGCTCTGGAGTCAAGAGGACTTAAGTTCAAATCCTACCTCAGACACTTGACACTTACTAGCTGTGTGACCCTGGGCAAGTCACTTAACCAACTGCTTGCCAAAAAAAAAAAGCTTATGCTTCTAATTTTGATGGAACACGGAGGAGAAAGCATTGGTGCTGCTTGTTCTTTGAAGGATGGACAGGAATTTCAAGAAGCAGAAATGGTGGGAGACTGATATTCCATAACAAAGCTCAAAGAAGACAAAGTATAGCGTGTTTGGCAAATGGTGAAAAGCTGGATTCAAGTCTAGATGTAGCAAAGTATTTGAAAGTTCCTTATGGTATGTATCCCACATAACAAGAAGAAATATGGACTTAATTTTTCCACACAGTTTGCCACAGAGGGACGGGGAACGGGCTTAATGATTGGGCCTCATGGTGGGCTACTTAATTGCAATGAGGTCAATATGAAAGAAAGTATCGATATCAGAGTTTCTTAACCTTTTTGGTGTCATGGCTCCATGTGGCATTTTGGTGGATCCTATAGGATTCTGCTCAGAATAATGGTTTTAAATGCATAAAATACATGGGATTACAAAGGAAATGACTTATACTAAAATACAGCTATCAAAGTATTTTCAAAAAGCAAATTCAGAGATTCCAGGCTAAGAACTACTGTTCTAATAGATTGCTACAGTGTTCTCAGGGCTGTTTAGTATTGTTCTTGAGAGTTTCCAATAAAGAAGTGTATGGTATACTTAGAAAATCTTTTGGGTGGCATAAAGCTGGGAAGGAAAGGTAGTACATTGGATGATAGAATCGTTATCCAAAAAAGTTCTTGATATAATGAACTAAGGAAACATCTAATGAGATGAAATTGAAAAGGAGTAATGTAAAGTCTTATATTTAGGGTCAAAAACACCAAATGTGCCATAATAGGTGAAGGCATGTAAAAAATCATGTAAATCATATAAAAATGAGTGTTTTAGTGAATGGCAATTTAGTGTTTTAAAGAATAACTCATTAGTACAAAAAACCAGTGAAATAATGCAATCACTCAAGGAATATCATCAAATAAGGAATAAGGCACTGGACTTGGGAGATGACAGTCTTGTTCTACTTTGCTCTGGAACAGATTCTGAGGGCTATTTTTTTAGGCAGCTACATTGACAAAGTAAAGTACGACCGAGAGAGGGTGAAGAGGACTGAAACCATGCCAAAGGATGAATGATAAAGGAAATTTGGGAGGGTGAGACTGCAGAAATTAAGATGAAGGGGGTACCTGAAATTGTTGTCATTCAATGTGTGAAGGGTTCTCACGTGGAAGACAAATTTTGATTGGCCCCAAAGGACAGAAGTGGGGCCAAATCATTGGAAGTTACAGGGTAGTAGATTTCAAAAGAAGGAAAAACTTCCTAAACAGAATGGCAGACCTCCCAAGGCAATGAGTTTATTATCACTGCTGACCTTCAAGGAAAGTCTGGGAGATTTCTAAGGAGGCTGCAGAGGGAAGTCACTTACCTACTCAGGTACAGGTAGGGCTAGATGATTTTTTTTTTTTGGCAAGGCAATCAAGATTAAGTGACTTGCCCAGGGTCACATAGCAGGTAAGTGTCTGAAGCCGAATTTGAATTCAGGTCCTCCTGACTCCAGGGCAGGTGCTCTTATGTATTTCGCCATCTAGCTGGACTATATGATTTCTAAGGTCTCTTGTCAGTGCCGACACTTAAAAATATCCGAGTCACAGCATTCTGAAATTCTATGGCAAGAGCAGATGATACAACAGGGAGAGGACACGACTTGGGAGCCATGAGACAGAGATTCAAATCCTGCCTCCAACAACTTACTAGCTGTGTGACCATGGGCAAGTCTCCTCATCTGCAAAAAAAGGGGGATGATCTCTAGTTCATGGAGTTGCAGGGAAAGCATTTGGGGAAACATAGAGCACAGTATAAATGAGGCCTATTACCATCACTGTTGTCATCACCATTGTCACTTTTATTATTGCTACATCATGGGAAGCTGAAGTCCTATGAGTCTATAGACGATGCAAGGTGCACTGGTCTTGGTAAACAACCACATTTTATCCTTTGACTCTCTTAGAAAGTATTCCATATAGCACACCTTTAAGACTGCCTGATGTGTACCCAGGAGTAAATATGGAACCTCTTTGGAGTTAAAAGTCAAATCTATGCTGCTACACGCTATATGATAAAACATAAGGTATTATTACTATGTTAGTAAAGTCACAGAGGTGGCTGGAGCAGAGGGGGTAGGGGGTGGGGGTGGGGGGTCATTGGACCTGGAATCAGGAAAACCTGAGTTCAAATGCAATCCGAAACACCTACTAGCTATGTGACTCTGGGCAAGACCCTTAACCTCTGCTTGCCTGAGCATCCTCACTTGTAAAAAGAAGATAATAACAGCACCTATCTCCCAGGATTGTTTTGAGGATAAAGTGAGATAACATTTGTAAAGTGCTTTGCAAACTTTAAAGAGTTATATAAATGATAGTTATTATTATCACAATTATTACTTTATACTTCTTAGCTTGTGTAGTAGAATATAACCTCTGTGAAAGCAGGGACTTATCTTTTTTGTCTCTGAGACAATATTTCTTGTGCCTAGCATACTGTAAATACTTAATAAATGCTTGTAGACACAAACTGAAAGAATCTCAAGGTTTCTGCCCAGTTGTTGAAGGCAGGAGGCCTGAGTAGGAGCCTGAGAGAAAGGATAGGCCAGGATAATGGCTAGAAAGCCGTCAAAGTATAAACAGATTCTTAAAATGTCAGCCAGCACCCCTGGTAAGTTAATGAGCTTGAGAGTATTTGTGTATAAACTAAACAGAGTATCTCTATGTTAAAATGGCGATTTGGAGATAGAGACACTCTGGCTGACCTAAATCAAGACTGGGTTCATCATTTCGGGAAAAAAAAGAAAAGAAAGAAGAGGAAAGAACTTCCGGGTGTTATTCTATAGCATGGAAAAATATGCCTAAGGATAGTCACATATGTCACTGGCAGAGTTTGAACAAATGTCCATCATTTACCTGAAGGATGCGCTTAATATGCTGTCTTTGAATGTCATCACCTTCTGTACATTCTTTAATGCCATGAGGATAACAGATCAGCTGCAGCAATTTCTGCGCTTGCTTGTGTGAGAGAACGGGGTCCAATATAAGGTCCTTGTCTGTACACAATCTCTCAGGCTCTTTCAGACAATGTTCTCCAACCCATTCCTGGAAAGGATGAAACACGGGATAAGGGGTCATTATTTACAAGCAGATAGTGAGGGCTTATTGGCTGGCAGGTCAACAGCCCAGTCTGGGAATGCAACTCACCAGTGGAGCTGGAGATAGTCCATGGGTCACAGGTTTAGGGGCCAAAGAATCCTCCAAGAACAAAAAGTCTAACCCCTTCGTTTAAAGAGGAAGAAACTGAGGTACAGGGTGGATTAAGTGATTGACCAAAAATAACATAATTAGGACATATAAAAGGAGAGATTTACTCTCAAATCTTCTGGACTCCATGTCCTGATGGAAGCCTGTCCATTACATTCCCACTGCTCCTCCTGGCTATAAATCTTTCATATAAGTATTCGACAGGTATATAGGTATAGTTCTTTCAGATGTATGACTCAAGGTTGGCCTTTTTTTCCTTTAAATTCCACTAATAAGTGGGAATATAGAAAAAAAAGTCAACCTAAAAAAGGAGCAATATTAAAAAAATATAATGACCGTATATCTCTTCCCCTTCCAAAACAGGGGACTGAAAAACATCTTTAAGGTTCTACATGGGACCTTAAACTGTACATATTTCTTTGTTGTCTCCCCTATTAGACTGTAAGCTTTTTAAGGGCAGGGATAGTTTTTTGCTTTTCTTTGTATCCCCAGCCCTTAGCACAGTGCCTGGCACACAGTAGGTGCTTAATAAATGCTTATTGAATGGATACAGCACTGGCCCTGGAGTCAGGAAGACCTGAGTTCAAATCCAGCCTCAGACACTTGATACTTTCTTGCTGTGTGACCCTGGGCAAGTCACGTAACCCCCACTGCCTCACCAAAAAGAAAAAAAGAACTAAATTTAAAAAATGCTTATTGATTGGCTGACTCCTAGAATTATCCCCTAATTATATTTTTAAGACTTGTAAGAATGCCAGTTGTCTTATGGCTGTGGGCTGATGTGTGTGCCTTAGCTAGCCAGAGGTCATAAATGTCAGGAGTTAAATGCACCCCCGGTTTGGAGAAATCATTGCTCGATTCAAGACATCAGAATAATTTCAACGAGGGAAAAGACATTGACAAGCACCAAAGCTACACAGGGAACTTCCTTTCACAATGAACTGCTCTCTCTTACAAGGGCCCCTGGGTATCCACTTTAGGCAATGGAATCTGGAAAAGTACCTGCTGGCAGATCGTTCGTAGGACATAGCGAGCGTATTCGCTCAAGCTGGCGGTTTCTATGGAAACCGCTTTCCCACATGGTTTCATGGACTGTGAGGCATTCCAAATATCGTCATCATTCATGTCGTCTAGTAAGCCCCTCATAGCGAAGTCCTCACTTTTTAAGGCGTTGGCATTACTGTTGCTACCAATTTCGGCATCTCCTATGGAGCAGAAACGCAGAAATAGTCCAGTTAAACATAGTGCCAAACTTAGTCTAAAAGTGAACATTTCTCTCTTTAAGTAGTTAGAAATCACAAATCTCGAAGGATCTAACAAGTTATGAAGCTACAGAAAATTGCTCTAACAAAGAATGAAAGAACTCTAATTTTATTTTCTAACAGAAATGGGAAAAAAATTTTGCTTTTGAGAATGGCCCCTGATTTTGTTTGATATATATTAAGGTTCCATCCCCAGAACTTTAAAAAAAAAAAAAGAAATACATTCCAGGTTTTGCTAACAACAGTCACACAAAAATTATAGCATGTTCATTTGTCCCCATTATTTTAAATCTGAATACGTGTAGGATTCATTTGACTCATAAACAAGGAGAAAATGGGTTACTCACCTTTCTAGATGTCCCTTTTCCATTTCTTCCCTCTTAAAGTCATTTATTTTCTCTCCATGGATCAAGAGAAAAGTTTTGACTGGTGGCGCCCTTAGCCCACCTTACTATGAACTTCTTGACAAGAGAGATCTATTTTCCTGGGGATGGAAAGGGGCAAGGCATACTAAGGAAGCCCTGTCAGGAAGAGCACTCATTGAATACCCACGGCAATTCATTCACTTTTCTCTTGGCCAATCACTAGACAAATCAGAAGGGGTCAAAAGAAGGGGTAGGGTGAGGTCTCATGTTGGGAAATGACATTTGAATTGAGCTTTAAAGGAAACTAGAGATTCTCAGCCTATGCAAAGGTACAGAATGGGTTGATAGCATGTGAGGAAGAACAGGAAAGTCATCTTTGCTGGACAGTAGCGTACACGAAAGGAAATAATATACAATAGTCCCGGAAAGGTAAGGCTGGAGAAAAATAGTAATGGTCATTCCATGCAAACACAGGAATTTGTATTTGGTCACAAAGAAACACTGGAGTTAGTGAGAAGCGCTGTGGCAGTATCAGACCCATGTTTTAGGAATATCACTTCGGTAGACATATTGGAGAGAACACAGACTGGAGGCAGGAAGACAAATTAGGAGGGATATCATCTCTCCTAATGTCCAGGCCAGACATGATGGAACCTCAGCTAGGGTGATGACTTTGTGAGAGAAGAGTACAGATAGGAGAAATGTTTTAGATTTAGAAAAGATAAAATCTAGCCTGTACACAGATATGTGGGCTGAGTGGGGAGCCGAGGACGGCACAGTTTGGGAACATGCCCACTCTGATGCCAATAAGCTAAGACTCAATAGGCAAAACTTTGGGAAGTTTCTGTTCAAAATCTGCAACATAGTTAGCTTACTCATGTTGGCTAAAACGCATAAGGTCTTAGGCACGACAAAGGTTCTTAACCTGGGCTCTGTCTGTGAACTTAATTTTTATTTAATAATTACATTTCAATATAATCAGTTTCCTCTGTAATCCTATGTATTTTATTATATGCATTGGATTTCTGAGAAGCGGCCCATGAGGCTTTACCAGACTGCCAAAGAACTCTGTAACATACAAAAAAATTTCTTTAAGAAGTCCTGGTCTAGGCCAGTTACCAGATAACTCAAATGCTGCTTTTGGGTAGAATGAAGTGAAGGGAAGAAAGGTTGCCCAACAATCCTGACTTATCTGGCACATCTGAGGTTAACAATATAAAATCATCTCTCGGCATTATACCTTAGACAGAATAAAGTAATACTAGCACATTCTGACTCTCTCTAAGGGCACTGAGAAATATTATAGGCCTCATACAATTAAAGCTTAAAGCATCCCAATGTCTTGGGACATAACTCCTCTTCTTCCTCCTTCTCCTCCTATTTTCACTACCATAACTTTACTCACAGAGAAACTGAAACCTAGGAGGTTAACTTGCCCAGGGCCACTTGTTCAGTTAGAAAAGGAATACCAACACTGTAACCCAGGATTCCTGCCTTCCAGCTCAGGGCTCTAATCTGGCTGAAATTTAAACTCTTGGTGCCAAGCAGTCTGCCAAAAGCAAAGACTGATATTTAGATCACTGAGTGTTTTCCCTCTCTGGCACACAAGCTATTCCTCTAGAGTGACTCTTTTGCCAACATTACAAACACAGAAACAACAACAATTGTCTGAAGATTCAGTTTATATCTCTGGACGCAATATCCTGCAATTAAAAACGCCACAGAAAAAGATTAGGTTTCCAATGGGAGCCACTGTGGGCAATCACTTTGTCTTTGGACTGGTCAGGAAAACCAGCCATGGGCAGCCAGCCACCAGCATCCCACAACGAGCACATGGCTTCCATAAGAGCACAAAGAGCTTCCAATCTTTTGTGCAAACAATGTCCAGGCTGACAACAATCCTTCCCAAGTTTGGGCATTTAACCAAAAAGCATAGTCTTTGAATGATCTTACCAAGCATGAGAATCGCTTTTAAGACAGCAAAGACCGCTCCCACTTCTATGCTGTTGTGAGCAGCTGCTAAAAGGTGACGATCACAAGAAGAACGTATTCCAGGGAAAGGCTTCCCTAGGAGGGGACAGTGAACCATGGACAGCATCAATAATATTATCTCCATACAATTAACAGTACATCATAACACTACAGAGTATGCAAGTCATTTCAACAGACAGTCTGGAGAATCTGACATTAGCAAGCCTTCAGAGTTATGGCCACGTGTCAATTCACAAGGTGATCAGGAAACATTATCATTACTTCGAATCGAAGTCTTTCAGCAAGGATTACTAATTTGCTTCTTAACTGTGGAACATAAATGGGTGAGTCCTTGCCCCACCTACTACAAAACTATCACACTTTTAGGTCCTGAATATACCACAGCTTATAAATAAATACTTATGCAAACTTAGAAATGTACTGAGAAGAGAATTCCAACCCACTTATGCCTTTACGCCTTCAAGAAGTCTCATTCTGGTGATTTTCCCTTACCAGAAAGAAAAATGAACTAAAACAATGCTAAAGTCTTATTCCATGACCAAAAAAAAATACACTATTGTATGGCGGCATACCTCCCACCAACAGTACTTTACCAGGAGTCAAGGTATTTTTATTGTTCATTAATTTCTCATTAGCATTTCTTAATACATCCTGGTTATTACTTTAGTGAATGACGTTCTCAAGTTCTGTATCAGTTATCTCACTACTCCATCCGCCCTTGAGCAAGCCCACTAAAACACCAAAAGGAAAGAGTAAGCCTAGATGTCTACTGGGTGATTTTTGGAGCTTGATACCAAAATGGAAGAGTTCAACAGGTGATTTTCAGCTGGTGACTTACCTGTCGCTTGAGGTAACAAACACACCTGCGGGGTTCGGAAGAGATGAAGAAGGAGTCGGCATGTCATTCGTGCTCCAGGCTCAGCATCTGGATCTCCGCAAGCTAAAAGAAAAAAAAAAGACTTCAGTACTAAGCTTCTAGCATGTATTTAAAAAACACATGTTTTTTTTTGTTTTTAATTTAGATCTTCATTTAAACGGCCCAAGTAAACATTCATCTAAAACAGGGGCTCTTAACTTTCTGTGCGGCGTGGATTCTTGACAGTCCGGGAAAGCCTATGGACGCTTCCTTGGAATAATATTTATCTAAATATGTGACATAAAACGCACAGGATTACAAAGGAAGCCAGTCATATCGAAAGCTAGTTGTCAAAATATTAGAATTAAAAAGTTTACAGACCCCAGGCTTTGAATCCCCGACAGGAAAGTTTCTAAATGCCTGATATTCCTCAGTGTATGGATTTAAGGTTTGTTTGTTTTTTTCATTCGAAAACCAGTTACCCAAAAGTCTTTACTTTAAAGAGAACTCAATTCCTTTTATACCCAGATGATGAGTATATTATTAGATTTTTCTTAGTTGAGGCGAAGGCCAGGTGACTGGGGTTTTGCTCCAGGCTGCTAACATGTTGCAAAGGAGAGGGCTGCTGTCTCCTCAGTGTCCACAACGTGTGGCATAAAGTTCCTTTTCTTTCTAAACCAGGCTTAGAAGACCACCTCCAGGGTCCTATCACTATGGCACCCTTTTCATGGGGGCTTACCTTCCCTTGCTGATAGAACGAGATAGAACTCTCCATCAATCTTCCGGATTTGGACAGCATAAACTATTTTACAAGGTTCCATACAGCCCACTCTGGGGATGGGGTAGATTGCCCACTGCACCATCTACCACTTTTGTAAACAAATTTGCCTTTGAAACAAAAATTCCTAGTACATCTTGAATAAGGTCTATGGTTTACAAAACCCCCCAAAAGTTCAAAACCACCCCTTGAATCCTGCTGCCATCCTCTACCCTTCAGCAAATATGCTAGAAGGTAAGAAGAGAGACATAAAAAGTTTTCCCATCATGATTTTCCTACCTGCTGCTAACAGCGAAGGAAGTGCTACGTGCTGGACAACATCCTCCAGGGAAAAACATTGCCGAGCTATCAGAATCGCAATGAAGGTGGCCAGTGAATCATGGAACGAGAGGTCACTGACCTTTAAGGAAACAAAGCAAAACAAAACAGGAGAAAATATTGGCATGTTTTCCTCCCTGTTTAGTAATATGTAAGATTATTATCAAAGAGATACTGGCTAATTGGCCCTAACCTGCTACAATTATCACACTAAGCCACTAATTTGACATTATATTTTAAATGATTATGACATGTTGTTTTTGTACCTCCCTAAAGACTTCTTAATGGAATTTAGAAGGGGGGAGTATGTTTTGTCCTCTGACCAATTTTTGAGTCACATGTAAGAAGAGGATACTGGTTAATCAATATGATACCACCACAATTCAATTCAATTCAATGAGGATTTATTAAGCACTTTCTAAATGCCAGGCAACTGAGCTTCAGGTTGTTGCTACAAAGACAAATATACAAAGAAATGAAGGGGGAATCTGCAGAGAGTCTTTCACAAGATTTAGTACTACAGGACACTTAAGAAAAAAAAAAAGAATCTGAGACATCTACAAAATTAAAGAATAATATTTTATCATGAAAACAGACATAAAATAAAGGTCAGTGACCAAAAGATATCTCAAAAGAAACATAAAAGAGCCACGCAAGTTTGCTGAAATTATGAGGGGAAAGGAAGGCTTTTACTCTGTGTGTGTGTGTGTGTTTGAGAATGTGTGTGTGTGTGTGTGTTTGAGAATGTGTGTGTGTGTATGTAAAGAAAAATTTAAGCTCTTCTTCCTTGAATGGTGAAAAATGGTGGGAGGTTTGGCTACAGTTTATAAGAATATGATGGAGGCAGAGATAAAGTGAACATATAATTGTTTCACAAATCAACAAGTAGAATGAGGAGAAAGGTCCAGTCCTTGAAAATGTGAAAATAAGCTACACACAAAAACATATAACCCAGTACTACACAGCACAGGCAGAAAACATCAATGGGTTACAAAGGAATCCAAAAGAAAAAGTCATACCGAGGCAATGCATTCCCTCAAGTAAGACCATAGATGTACAGTGCTTTGCAAACCTTAAAGCCCTATATTAACGCTTCGTTTTGTTCTCAGGTCTCCCTGTTTTGCCCGGGTTGGACTTGTAACAGCCACTTATCAACTCAATTCTTGTAATGATCAGCATGGGAGGCATAACCTGCTTTGTTTCTGACCTGGGCTGGTTCAACCCTCCTTAGGCAGCCTGGTGGCCCACCACTCCCTCGTGCTCACTATATTGATGTCAGATTTAGTGAGGACGCCCAGTCAGCTTAGCCCACTGCAGCTCTGAACTCTGAGCTCAAATGATCCACTAGTGCCAGCCTTCCCAGTAGATGTGCGCCATCCTGCCTGGCTTTACTTTAAAGAGGTTAGCTATTACATTTTATCATTATCGTTGTTATTGCTAATCATAATAATGAGGGAAGGTAGCTTTAATTTGGATATAGAATTAGTTTTTTGTGGAATATAGTCTCCCACATACAATTCCTTAATATTCAGGTTTTATTTGAGCTAAAAACAATTTTATTCATGTCATTAAAGTGGTTTATGGATGGATGTTCCACATTCTGAGTAACCTAGGGTATTGTGCAGAAACAGGGGGGAAAAGACACTGATAAAGGGGTTTCTATGCCTAAGTAATAGCAGACAAGGATACAACCAACCGCTATCACTACTAATGATAATAATAGCAACTACTCAAATTTATATAGTGCATTAAAATGTGCAAAAGGCTTCACATGGTATCTTATTTGGTCCTTATATCAATACCATGCAAGTAGGTGCTATTATAAACTGAGGCACAGAGAGCATAACTTACTTACCTAGGGTCACACAGACAGTAACTGAGGAAGGATTCAGACTCAGGATTTCTTAATTCCAAATACCCATTCTATCCAATGTACCTGTGGTTTATGACTTAAACCAGATCTTTATCTTATAATTTACGACTCAACTGAGATAAATTTTTTGCAGGAGTGCAGTTAAGGGCTGATTAGAAAAACAACTAAATGTTGCTAAAAAATGGAAAAAAAAATTAAAATTAAATAAAATAAAAAAATGAAATAGAAAACCCACATCTACACTGCAAAGCAGATCGTTGAAACCCCACACGTGATTGGAAGAGCAACAAAGGGCCTTGAGAACGCCTAACCATTCTGAGCTGAGCACAGTACAGCAAGCCGTCAGCTCAGCACATAAGTTGGCAATGTCATTGATTCTAGAAGAAAGAAAACACAAAGTAGACAGTGCGGTCACATAAAGGGAAAACATTCATTGACACATACGTTTAATGGACTATCATGTCTCATTATGTGGCAGGCTGAAAGGTTAAACCTTGACTCCAGACGTCAAATTCCTTAGGGTTAAAAATGGTACTTACCAGCAAAGTGTAAAAAACCTTGTTAAAATTGATCAAGTCACAACATTTAAATTGTTCACTCTATGATGAAAGATCCTTTTTTCCTCAATCTGTAAAGTACTTCAGTGGCTACAATTATATCACTCTCACGGAGCTTTCTAGTTACCCAGTATCAGATGATTTCAATGGATTCTCTAGCACTTGTCAAATAGCATAACCCCAAATTACAGCCAGAACGCAATGACTTAAATTATTTCGACTGCCCAACAATGTTAATCTACAACGACGAGGAGGACAGTATCCAACGACAGTACGAAGAGTACCGAGGAAAGCCCAGGGCTTGGTGCATCGTACAAGTGTGATACATTCTTCCTGACTTCATTGAAATAGAGTAGTCTAATATTAAAATATATAGCTCAGTTTATATTCTCATGTAGAGAGCTTTAAAGAAACAATATAAAATTAAGAAAAATGAATACCAAGGTAATTCCTTAGTCCAAATGTGATGAAAATACAGCAAACATTTAAAATTTATGTCTGCTTCTACATTTATAAAATCTTTGCTTATAAATCTGTAAATCTTTCATTTGTCATGTCTGCTTCTACATCTGTAAAATCTATGCTTATCAATTGGTAAATTGTATATTATGTTTGCTTCAACCTATGCTAATTGCTTACAGTTATATGTAAATATTATCTATGCTTATATTATTATATATACTTTGCTGCATATCTGTTATATGTGTTTGCTTTTAACTACCAGTAATGGTACAGAACAGAGAACATTTCTCAATCTAGCGACGTGATACCATTATAGGGGGAAAATTACAGGACATTAAACAGAATGAAGTAGGACAAAAGAAATACGTGAAGGACTAAATAATCATTAGACTTTCTTCATCTCTTTTTAGCACGTTCACTATCTAGAAAAAGAGGGGTAAAGGGCAAGACAAAGCATCTTACCTCTCTGCGTCCTGATGCCCCATACATACATTCATGAGTGCATTGCACACAAAGCTATAGCGGTTAGCTGCATTGTCGCTGAGTATCTTGCCCAGCATGGAATAGTTGACATTATGAGCAGAGGGATTCTCGATAAAATCCAACATGAACTCGGGGTCCCACAATAAGTTGGAGTTGGAAGGCTGCACATTGCTGTAGATGGTCTGCTTTACTTTTGAACAGGCACTACTGAGGATTAAAAATAGAAAGAGAGAAATTGTGAAAAATAAATCAACCCAAGCAAAGTTAAAAGGTTGTTTCACTGAAGGGTAGATTAAGTAACAGGACTTTAAAAAATCATACATTACTTTATAGGACCCACTTACCTACATTCTGTTAACAGTATCACATGATGGCTATGAACAAAAACGCCTCTATTCATCATCATTTTTGTTACTGGTCAGACCTGTGATTTCATTGGTATAATACGGAACTCCCAGGTGAGGGAAAGGCCTTCCACCAATGCAGGTCAATACCTTCTCTGAAACATAGTCTTAATCCCCTCAAGCAATGTTGTCAAACTCAGACAGAAACAGCCACGATTCTATTCATAAAGATCTCCCTGCAGGCTATACATTGGTTTAGTTTTTTGGGTTATTTTTTTGCTAGGCAATGGGGTTAAGTGACTTGCCCAGGGTCACACAGCTACTAAGTGTTATGTGTGGTTTAGTTTTAAAATGTACTATTATCCATGTTTTCCATTTTTTATTTATTTTGTCAAATATTTTCCAATTACATTTAAATCAGGTCCAGGCCCCACTCTGTGTGCTGCAGGACGTCTGTTGGACACCTCTGGTTTAGAGTAATAATAACAGGTTAAGTGACACAGTTCAGTGAAAATACATTTGAGGGGGAGACTTGAACTCAAGTCTTGGTGGTACTAATACACCACAATGTTTTTCATTATTATTATTGTTGATATTATGGTTTTTGTTGCTGCTGTTATGGAGACAGTGTGGTGCTGTGGATTTTCATTCATAGGCACTAGATTAAAATGTTGGCTGTTAGTGACTTTAGGCATGTCATTTAACCTTAGCTTTTCACCTGTATAATGAAGGAGATCGGAGTAGAAGACTTCTACGGCCCCTTCCATACCCAAAACTATGCTCTTGTTTCATCAACGTAAGGAGCTCCTAGTGTGGAGAAAAATCTTCCCTGATACCTATTACAACAGGTGATTCTAGCTTATAATCTTTGAGAGCTGCCTCCCAGGAATGACAGCAGCTAGGTGGTGCCATAGTGTATTAAGTGCAGAGCCTGGAGTCAAGATGACTCATCTTCCCAAATTCAAATCTAGCCTCAGACACAGCAGTGTGGCCTTGGGCAAATCCCTTAACACTCTTTGCCTCAGTTTCCTCATCTGTAAAAGGAGCTGGAGAAGGAAATGGCAAACCACTCCAGTACCTCTGCCAAGAAAACCTCAAATGGGGTCACGAAGAGTAGGACATGACTGAAACAACTGAATGACAAATTTATCGACAGTCATAGAGCTAGTAGTATATGTTAGGTCTCTCTCTTTCTGCCTTCTCTTCTTTCTTCTTTTCTTCCCTCCCTCTCTCCCCTCTGTCCTCTCCTTGTCTCTCTTTCTCTCTCCATTATTTTGATTACTATTCAGAAATACTGCTATTTGTAGATAAATTGTGCGAGGGTATGGATCGGAAACACCTGGACCCCAATGTCCTATGATTTAGTCAGCAAAAACATCCCCATCCGACATGAACATTTTGATGTAAAACTGTAACTGACCCTTAAATCTGTTAAAGAGATATCCCTCAGTTTCTGAAGATATTCTGAGAGCACTGAAGTTCATGAATGAGTCAGTGAGCTGGTCTCCTTTTGAATTCACATGAATTTTCAAACAGAAAAGATCAAAGACTAATTTCCCAGGGATATTTGCCTTCACAATCTTTACTTATGACATACTACCTGGTGTTAACGTAAGATAAAGCTGCTTGGTAATTTTCAGAAAAGGGGATATGTTCTGCACCCATTCATCCCATGGCTAAGAATCATGCCCCACTGGACAGCAGTCACAGATTTTAGTCTGATTCACTGTACTTACAGAATAGAAAGGACAAAATTAACAATAATCCACTAGATGGCAACACTGTACAATTACCCAAGCATGGCTCATTTTGAGGCAATACTCAAAACAGTCACAATTAAGAAAAAAAGAAATTTTCAGTTATGTTTCATGAAAAGATTAAGCTAGTGAGGAGGGATTATTTTATGGTGTTTTTTTTTTAAATTGCAATCACAGGACTAAGTCCAAGGTTTTACACATTGTATATGAGATTAAATTGGCCAAGATATCTATCTTCCATTCCTTCCTTTCCATTCTTCAGTTATCACCTGCTGCTCAATCTATTTTCTTCACATCCTCTAGCTACCTTTTTATTATCTTTTATTTAGCACTCTTTTAAAAAATTCTCTACCTAAATCTCCAGTGCTATCAATCTCATCACTACCTACTGTAATCTCTCCCTCCATAACATCATTCCTCCATTATTATTCTTTTCCACTCCCAGCTTCTGCTTTGACTCATTATTTAGTTCTTCTCTTACCCCTCCCCCATCCCTCTCCTCCAAAAAAGAAATCATTCTTCAAATGTTCTTCTGGCTTTCCTAAGTCTCTCTGATTTTTTCCACTTCCAATTATACAACATGAGGGACGATATCAAATACTCACACAGTAAAAATATTCTTGGTGTTACAAATGTTCCTTTTACCTCCTCCACTCTAACTTTTTAATTTATTCTAACAAAGTAGCTAAGAACCCTAAAATGAAGTCTCTTTAACATCTTTATACTCACTCCATGGTTACTGTGATTCCTTCCTTCCTTCCTTCCTTCCTTCCTTCCTTCCTTCCTTCCTTCCTTCCTTCCTTCCTTCCTCTCTCCCCTCTTTCCTTTCTTATCTCTGGATCTTTCAACATAAATGGCTTTTTTCTCCCTTAAATCTGTTTCCTACTTTAAGCTCTTTCTGATCAAGCGTTAATCTCTTTCAGGTCAGGCACTCTACGGACTGTGTCACCTAACTACTGATTAAGATCAGCAATTCTGAATTCTTACTTAATATCACCAGGTAAGAGTTCATTTGTATAATCTCTTTAATATCTTGGGAAATTTTTATGAAGTGGCACACGATTAATTTGGTGTACAGAGAAAGAAGTCTCAGAAGTCTCATATATATTGATGTGGTCTAATACATAATATAAGGACACAACTGTATAGGTTAAAAAAAATCCTGATGAATACAAATCAATCAATACAGATATAGAAAGGTCACTGAATTCTGGAGATGGGGGCAGGGAGAGACTTTACGGAAAAAGCAAAGCTATCAGTTTTGTATGTTACACATCCATTTTGTAATAAAGAATGAGTTCACATCATGACAGTTAATAGGAATAAAGTTGGTAGGCCCAAAAGCACAACTACAAATCCCAGGGTTCTTAACTTTTTTTTTGTGTCATATACCGCCATCATCCCCCTTAGCAGTTGAGTGAGACCTATGGACGCCTTCTTAGAATAATGTTTTTAAATAACTGAAGGAAATAATAAATTTCATTTAGAGGTTAGTGAAAATATTTATATAATATTTCCCCCCACACCAAGTTCATGGGCCCTCCCAAAGGCTTTCAATCTCAGGTTAAAAACTCCTGAATTAGACACAGGCAGCATGCACGAACCCTCTTCTAATAAGTGATTCATCTAGGCTTTCTCTCAATTAACCAATCAATAAAGACTTACTATATGCCAGGCACTATACTAAGAGCTAGGGATACAAAAAGAGGAAAAAGATAGTCAGTCCCTGCCCTCAAGGAGCTTACAATTTAACAGAGGAGGCAATAAACAAACAGATATATACAAAGTAAACTATGCACAGGATAAATGGGAAATAATTAAAAGAGGGAAGGCACTGGAATTAAAAAGTGTTAGGGAAGGCTTGCTGGAGAAGGTGAGATTTTAGTTGGGACCTAAAGGAAGCCAGGGAGGTTAGTACTTGGAGAGGAGGAGAGAGAGTATCCCAGGCACGTGGGACAGCTAGAGAAAACGCCCAGAGCTGAGGGAAGAGATGGACTTATTGTTGGAACAGCGAGAAGTCCGTTGTCACGGGGTTGAAGACTACATGTTGGGGAGATAGGTATAAGAAGACTGGAAAAGCAGGAGGGGGCTGGGTTTATAAGGCTCCAAATTTATGTTACACAATCTCAAACAGGCCCTCACTGCTGCTCAGTAATCAGTCCCAAAATAAATTTGGAATGGACCCGGTTAGAACAGTTGCATAGTTTTTTCCACTTTCTTTTAGCAGCATGTGTTTAGGAGTGAAGGTAATGAATAGGGGGAGGGATCCAAGCCTGAGGACTGGCTGCATGTCATCAGAGATATGATAAGAGGGCTAGGGATTCTACGGAGGGGGACAGTGTATAATTGAATTGGCTCACCAAAGGGTCAAGATGGGGATATGAAGAGAGTGGACAGTGCAGGGGAGATGGCCTGGGGGAGAACTGAGATGTCAGTGGTTTGGAAGTCACAGTTTGGAAGAATGCTTGAAGAGTAAGGTTATGTGAAGGAAGGCAGAGAGAGAAAGGAGAAAAGTCATCAGATTATAGTCAGACAAGGGGATTTCAGAATTTGTTTTTTTTGCGGATTTCAGAATTCTCATGCATAAAGGTGGCACATTTGTTCATGACAGCAAAATCGTGGTATAACCATCTTTGTGTGCGGCTGAGACTGAGTAGAGATGTAGCTCATGGGAGATAAGTAGGTTGAGGAACTGGGTGGTTAGGGCATTTGAGGAAGATAGAATCTGTGAAAAGTACTCAGAATGTGAACCAGAAAGCAGGCAGCCTTTAATCACAAAATAAGACAAGCATCTTCCAAAAAGCCTGGAAACCCAAACCAAAGTTTCTTCTGGGTTTGACGACTATAGTCTCAGTATTGCTAAACAAAGATTGAAACAATTGTTCAAAATGAAATGATTAGGAAGTGATCCCCACACAGCATCCATTCAAGAATGAGTATTAAAGAAAAGGAAACCCAGTATACCTTGTTTTTAAAAGTTCCCCACCCCTACTTTAGAATCTTAAAAACAACACACACAAAAAAACTTACCAGTGTTTGTTTCCCATGAGTCAATTAGAATAAAAAAGTTTTAAATGGCAATTGCATGATGCAAAAAGAAAAGCCAATTTAAAATTAGAAATACATGAATCTTAAAGAAAAATCACTATCCACTATGTGTCTGAAACTGCATATGAGGGGAGCACAAAGGCTGTACCAGGTGGAATTCAATAATGACACTTCACTTATAGGAGGTAACTCCGGGAATCGATTTTTTTTCCATTAAAATTTAAAGGTATGGGGCAGTTAAGTGGTGCAGTAAGGGGCCTTGGAGTCAGGAGAACCTGAGTTCAAATCCAGCCTCAGACGTTTAGCACTTACTAGCTGTGTGACCTTGGGCAAGTCACTTAATCCCGATCGTCTCACCCCCCCCCCAAAAAAAAAAACCCCAGCAAATTAAAAATTAAAAAGGTACCCAGGAAAATTTTTGTACTGCTTATTTGAACTGAACTCTACCAGTATTGAACATGAATAGCTCTTGATGCTATTGATAACAGTTATTGATGAGTTATTCTTTTTTGAAGTTTAAGAGTCAAAATTGGATGATTTCTGAATATAGTGATTTATATTTTTAAACGATAGTTCATTAAAGTTAAAATATTCATCATGCTTATTATATTATATTGCATTATATTATTTTACATATTTCATTGAGAATGTTATATATTGTCATCATGATTATATACTCTCACGTTAACAGCAGGAAAAATAATACTGTATTGTCTTTTGTAATGCTTAAGAATAACTGCTGAAAGTCAAATTGGTGTATCTCACTAACTTCCAGGAGATTTGTGATAGCAGTCATTATTTAAGACTTCTATGTTTACTGTATAAAAAGTTGTCATAGGAAAGAGCAGGCACATCTTCAGTAAGACAAATGGAAATAAATATTACAATGTCAAGTGCTGTGGTTGATTAAGGCCTTATTTATAATTGGCTAAAATTTCAACTTCTCCACTGAATTTTTTTTTTGCCCACCTTTCTCCACGACTGCTACTGCTCCATCACTGATAGCTTTCACTGAAATAACATTTCAGCAACTGAGACAGACAAAACAGCATAGGTATGTATTTTTTTAAAGATTTCCAAACTTAGTTCTTAGGGACGTTTTCATGTTACTTTCATACACCCACCTGAAGAGGTCTCCAAATTTACTTCTTAGATGGCTACATGACACATAGAGATCATAGAGGTAGGCTAAGATGCATCTTTCAGGGGAGGAACATTCTGACGGGTTGACCACATGCTTTACAACACCACACAATCTAGAGGAGTTGTAGGGGAGAAAGGGAAAAACATTTTAAAAATTAGATGGTTCAAATTGGTAATTTTACCAAAGAGCTTGACATATTTGGGTGAAATATAAAAATTGTTTCCTAGTCTACTACTGGAAAGGCAAAGTACCAAGACATTAAACTCTATAAAAAAATAAATTTGGGGAGAAGTGAGGAAATATCTGGAGCACCCTCTTAAATGAATGTATATGAAACAAGGAGTGGATAATAGAATGGGTAAGCTCTAGTCATAACAAAGATTTGTAATTCTGGATGGCCATACAGGATGAGCTTTAAATTTCATGTAAGTTCCTCTCAACTTTTACTTTCACTTAAAAGAGTGGTTTAAGCAAATGAATTCCTTAAGCAATGTGGTGAATTCTCAAGAAGTTTCTGAAACTTCCTCTTTAAGATTCTTTAGAAATAGGAAATTGTTAGGAATATATCACATAACAACTAAAGAGCCTTCTTATCATTACAACTTATGGTGGTGACTTTCTATGACTTCTGCAGTTGTTTGAGACTAAGTGATTAAAGTGAAAACTTGGTTGATTTTTATTCATAGAAAAAGCCTACTGGAACACAAGACCTAAAAACTTGGTCAAACTTGAGGTCTGCAGCCTAGAATCCAACCAGCCTTGTATTCCATATCTAGTAACGGCAATATCGTGCTAGTAAAGTATGATTGTTCTCATGACCTCACATTGTTGGCTGCTTACTTTAATAAGAAGATGGAGACCATCTATCAGGAGCTCTCTTGATTTTCTTTCATTCCTCACAACCTCTGCCTACCATCAATCATTCTCTCCTTCTTCTGCTTGATCACAGAGGAAACGGTATCTCCAGTCTTCTGTAATTCTACTGCCTGTACCCCAGATTCCATTCCATCTTGCCTTCTGTACAACTTTGTTTCAGTAATTATTCTCTCTCTTTTTCAATAAATATTTAGGCTTTTACTTGCTGTAGGCTCATTCCCATTCTCATCATTCTACTGAAACTATATCTTCTGTTAGGAAGCATGATGTAACTTGCTTCACAAGTGGCAAACTCACTCAAATAAACTGCACAGCTTCTAACTTAAATGGTAGGATAAAAATAGTTCTTCCACAACTCCCCTAACAATCAGCCATATGAAGCACTGGAAGGACCAAATAGATATCCATTTCTTCTATTTTTTTCTTTACTCCTCATCCCCTGCCAACTAGAATTCCTCTTCCTCTTCATGGACTGGGAAAAATACAATTATGTTTACTAAGGGAATTTTGTTGACCCTTACCCTAATCAATGAGTCTGAAGTTAGGAAAAAGATTCACCACTCCCAGACCAATTCTTACCAAGGTCTGACATAAAACCAACAGAGAAAAGAAATGGAAGAATAAAGTCTCAGGAGCAAATAAATGCCCATCCTTGGCCTCTCTTAAATGAAGTCAATGTTAAATGACTATTTTCTTTTCTCCTGTTTTTGGAACCAATGGAACTAAAATGTCTCAACCTGGCCCCAATACTGACTATCCAACTTGAATTTTGATAACTGAAACATAAAAATTCTTACGTCCAGCTACATAATTTTCAATTCTTCATGATAAGTAGAGGGAGTGAGCCACATAATAGACTTTGGTAAATCAGAAGAGATCTTGGATGGCACTGTAGTTTACTGTGAAAGCACTTCATCTGGAGAAGACACTTTTCAGTTATCCTTGTCTGTATACCTGAAAGTTCTACTACTCACAATAAGGATGTCCCAGTGTTCTTATGAGAAGTGCATTTTATAAACCTTAAAAGTGCTAGATAAGGGACCTACAGATTCTACTATTGAAAAGTAACCACCAAATATGTTTTCCATGACTTCATGTGTATAAAGTGTATTATATTTCTTACCTTCTCAGTGGGTGTGGGAATGAAGAGAGAGAGAAAATTTGGAACTAAAACTGAAAATTTCAACAAACTAAAAAAGAAAAATACCATTTTTGGGGTGAGAAAGAAGAAGAACACATCTAATTCAGATGATTTTCAAAAGAGGAATATATTTCTTTTGAGAAAACTGGGAAAATTGGCATGTTATGGTTGTAGTTAGGACAATACACTTGGAACTCTTTGAAGAGCTCTTTGAATCGCCCAGTTAGAGCTCTTCAACTGTCTCTGTATACCTGTACCTGAACCTGCAGCCCCCGAGGCTACCTTGGCTTTGACCTTTTGACTGAGTCCAAGTTTTACTGAACAAATCCTTTTATTAAGATGATTTGTTCTGTGAAGTTTGGATTCAGTCAAAGGGCCACGCTTGAGGACCTAGAGGGTCACACGTGGCCTCACACTTGGCCGCAGGTTGCCCACTCCTGCTTTAAGCTCTTTGCAGGTCATCACCATTTTTTACCACCAACTGTGCATTCTAAATAAAGACATAGCCTTTCAGGACTACAAACCCTTCAAACACTTGGGCAGTCTGGTCTGGATTCAGGATGAGGCAGGCATGGTAGCGCCTCAGCACAGCCACAATGCACACACACAAGCCTGTTGTGTAACTTCCTGCCAAGCTGGAGGACTTCAGAAGCAATTCTGCCTCGACCACACTCAACTCATTGAGCAGCTGAAACACAAGGGGACACATGCTGAAGCAGCATATAAAAAAAATAGTCTACAATTAATTATTCCCAGGGCCTTTGCCATCTCCTCTCCTACCTCCCCAAAGGACCTACATGCATATAGCCATCCCATGCCCTAAGCACCCCCCACAAAAAAAAGAAAGAAAAGACCTAAAGAATGGGTAGCAGAAAACCAGGAGACTGCTTTGTTGTTGTTTTTAAAATCTTCCTGGTCAAGGTCTTTCTTTTGTCTAGACATTGTGTTGCACAACACCAGGAAGTATCTATGACTGAAATAGTAATTGAAACTTGAGAATAACTTTGTGGACCTGCCTCCTATATTGACATAATCACAGTACTCTTTAGAATATAGATTTGCCTTCCTCTTGAAACTTAATACTTTACTAGGAATTGCAAGGAAAAGTGGGCCTCTGAACCACTCTCTAGAAGTATGAATTTTTAATGAGTGTTCTACAAACACACTGGGCTAATTTTAAATAACAGTTTTGTTGTAATGTAGAGAATGTTTTGTCACAAATCAGATAAATGACCACATCCATTATTAAAAGAGGGCCATTTCTCATCTTAAAAAGATACACCTGGAATATTCTTACACTACCCAAATAACTTTTTGAAAAGAAACAAGTGAAGGTGTATTTAATGAACAACCACTATGTATATACTACTGTAGTGGGAAAAGCACAGGGTTTGGAGTCCAAAGTCTTGGGATCAAGCCTAATCTTGGGGCGGGGGGGGATGACACATCATTTTATCTTCCCAGAGGCTTACTTATTTCTTTTCAAAAACTGGGATAATAATAGCTGGTCTAAGTATGTCATAAAGCTGGTATGAGGATAAAATAAGATTCCAATTCAAAAAACATTTGTTGAGTGTCTACTGTTTGTAAAGAACTGTGCCAGAAACTAAGAACAAATGCTTGGCAAATAAGAATATCTTAATAAATGTGTACTTATTGGTTCTATGGGGGTTAGAGGATATGTAAATGTTTCCGAAACTACAAAGTAATACATCAAGTGAAGTAACTGAATGTGAAGCCCATTGTTAACCTTAAATCACTACATAAAGGAAAGCTATTATTAGATTACTGTTAGAATAATGATATTAAAAAAGCTATTACTAGATTACTGTTACAATAATGATATTAATAATAATAATATCTTATAATACCTAACATTTATGTAACATTTTAAGGTTCGCAAAAACTTTAGAAATATTATCTCATTTCATCCTCAAAATGACCCTGAGAGATTTTACAAAGGAGGAAACAGGCATAAACAGAGATTAAGTAACTTGTGTAGGGTCACACTGCTACTAAGTGTCTGAGGCTGGTCTATCTGACTTCAGGCCCAGTTCTCTACCCACTGTGTCACCCAGCTGACAATACACAGATGCCTACGCTAAGTTTAGAAATTATTAAGTTAACAGATTCTTTTTCTCTCCCAAACTAATATGAGAATCTATGGAAAATGCCTCGCAAGTTTTTGTTATTATTGTTATTGTTGTTATCATTAGACTGATTCCTTTGGTACCTGAATTGCAAAGTCAATAAGCCCGTTGATGTTCAAGGCTGGCTCCATAAGATCAAAGATAAGTTGAATGTGGTGTGCCAGTGGAAGATGGTAGGATGTTCCTGAAGCAAAGCTGGTTATCTGTTCCAGTACATTGCTAGAGATCTAGTAAAAGAAAAACATGCTATCAGTTTTCATTGAAAAAAAAAAAGGATTCTGAATAGCACGGAAGAAACGTGCATTTATATAGGACATTAGTTCAGATGAACTAAAATATTACAAACTCAAGTCCTACTTCCTTTTACAAAATAACATAAAATTTCACTTGGTAGACCAAAACTGGGAGTAAGAAAGCCGACGTCTTTAACCAGCATGAGCTGGGTGACAAATGTCACACTGAGGCAGGCCATTACACAACTGATCCAAGAGTCTGGTTTGTATATATACCTATTACTCATTAGTTGCAATGTGATAACAGAATCTAACTCTGTGATTAGTTTAGTTATCTTTTAAATGTTCCTACAGTATAATCAGAAGCTAAAGACTTTTCAAGATGAAAACAATACAGAAGCATTCTTCCAAAGAAGGATATTTGAAAGAAATATAAACCAAAGTATGGACCAGAGATTTTACCAAGTTCTACTGATATATATATCTCATAGTAAAGACTATATATCTCGTCTAAACAAATCTGAAAGTTGTCCAGCAAAACTAGAAAAGACACAACAGACGTGTTGAGGTAGCGGAAACAGCATCCAGACATCCTCAAATTGAACCCATTTTTAGGGAGTACCTGAGATGTGACTTGATGTTGATCAAAATAGGAGAGGAGCTGTAGCTTTGTGAATACCATCTCCAGCGTCGGAAAGGTCTCCTGTTTGCTTTTCCTGGCTTTTTGTCCTTCATCCTCAACTTAATAAATAAAATGAAAGGGTAGTTTGGTCAGTTTGAATTTAATGAGGACTGAAGAGCAGCACTACATTTAACAGATTATCAGTGTCTCTGAATATATCCATAAGCTAAATCTGCAATGATGCAATCTCTGATTTGTATTCTCCCTTGAAGATTTACCTATAGAAAAGAAACAACTTCTATACTTTACTGCTTTATGAGGAACAGTACGGTATGAAATCAGATCACATCAAAGTATAAATGATGTAGAAACATGGGGGAAAAGAACCTAAAACAGAAAGCATTCTCTACAGCAACAGTTCTCAAACTTTTTGGTCTCAGGATCTCTTTACACTGTTAAAAACTACTGAGTAAGGACCTCTCCAAAGAACCTTTTCTTATTTACCATATTAGAAATTAAAACATCTTAGTTATTATAAAAATAGTTTTGACCTTGTAACCACCAAAAGAGTCTTTACATTTACAATTACATTTTGAGAACCAGTGTTCTACAGTATGAGAAACTGGGGGAACACATCAAAAGGACAAAACTAAAAGCATAAGTGGAAAACTAGACTTGACTTTGAAAGACTCTCCTAAAATATGGATTTCGTGATTAAAAATATTCGACAAATTTGAGAAGTTATCTAAGCCTCTGTCTGAATGAGGGGGATTGAACTATTAGGCTTTTAAGGTCCTTTCTAACTTCAAAGCTAGCATTTTGTAACCATATATGGGGGTTTTAATTTCATTAATTAATGAAGAATTTCATTCTAGAGATTTATTAACTTAAAAAAGAAGGGAAAAATATTAGATACTGGGAAAGAAGTTGGTTAGAATGAATCCTAAAATATATACATTTTCAACGGTCCAAGTAACGGCTTTATTTAGAAACATTAGTCCTTTTCCATTATAAGTCATGATAGATCCCAGCACTTGGACCAATTATTGTCTATTGCATAACTTGCTGCCTCCAGGGGTGGGGAACTTGACTGAACCCAAACCTCACGGAACAAATCTCCTTAATAAAACTTGGACCCAGTCCAAAGCCCACACTTGAGGACCTAGAAGGCCACATGTGGCCTCGAGGTCTCCAGTTCCCCACCCCTGGTTAGCCTTTCTGCAAAGGTGTATCAGAAGAGAAACAATTGAGATCTGGAAGGGACCTACTTATCACCTCTGAGATCAGATATAAAATCCTCTGCTTTTCATTCGAAGCACTTTTACAGCACGGCCCCTACTACCTTTACAATCTTCTTATACCTTTCTATTCCATAGAATAATACTAGGTACTCTTCAAAATGGGGACAAGACACTCCCATCTCCAGATTCCAGGCATGGAACGACTGTGCCCTATGCCAGGAATAGTCTTTCTCTTTACCTCCACCCTGGTTTCCCTGGCTACCTTCATGTTGCAGTTAAAATCCCACCTTTTATGAGAAGCTTTTCCTGACTGCTCCTTAAAGCTACTGCTTTCCCTTTGGAGATGAACCACAATGTATCCTGTACATATCTTGTTTGTACATAGGTGTTTTCATAGTATGTCCCTCATTAGAATGTGACGTACTTTTTTAACCTTTTTTTTTTCTTCTTCCGTATCCCTAGCACTTAGCACAATGCTTGGAACGTGGTAGGCACTCAATAAGTCTTTACTGACCATCATCAGATACTGTGCAACTCAAGTCTCTCATTTTGCACACGAGAAAACTGAGGCACAGTGGAGTTAAATGGCCCCAGAGTCTGACAGGCAGAAAGCATCAGACGTGATTTAAACCCAGATCTTCTGACTAAGGAATCAGAGCACCCTAAAGGCTGAATGCAGGTTGGGGAAAAGAATTATTATAATTGTTATTTTTTGTTTTTGGCAATTGGGGTTAAGTGACTTGCCCAGGGTCACACAGCTAGTAAGTGTTAAGTGTTTGGACTGAGGCCGCATTTGAACTCAGGTCCTCCTGACTTCAGGGCTGGTGCTCTATCCACTGTGCCACCTAGCTGCCCCTGAAAAAAATTCTTAAGGTTATAAAATACGTTCTTATATATGAATTTCTTAAAAAAATTTTTTTTTACTGCTATCTATTGCCTACAATTTCCCCCTCTTCAACTTATCCCACCCATTTCTCAAACTGCTTATTTTTATAATATCAAGTTGTGAACTGCTTACAGGCCCTAGCAAATGAATCTGTTTGGGTTTCACTAAATGTCTGAAATTCACAAGTCAATATGGTCAGGTGTCATTTAGTAAAAATCCTTATACCCTTAAATATAAGGGAAATACTTGCTTTTTCAATTTTTAAAGTATAAGGAGAGCAATTTAAAATGCTCTTTGGTAGCTTTTGTTTTTGACAGTGTTTTTGACAATGCTCAGTGGCAGATCAAAGCTACAGCTAACCTAATTTTGGGTCCTAATTAAACTAATTTTCTTTCTGTCCTGTGGAAGAGAAGGGGGTCAGGGAGAGAGAGACAGAGTGAGAGAGAGAGAAAGAAAGAAAGAGAGAGAGAAGAGAGAGAGGTTGATCAATAGTTATTCTTACAAAAAAGTCTTCTCTCTAACTACCATGTAACTTCAGCAAAACGATACTGCAATATTACAATATTTTTAACTTTTCACCTCAAATGAGCCAAGTTACCATAAAACTAGAAAATTCCAGGAAAATCGGGCCTTAGCTGGCTATGAGAAAATCTACAATGTCCTCAGAGTTTCTTGCTGCTCAAACACTGAGAAAACCCCACTCTACCAGATGGGCAAAATGGATGCTCCTTCTCAAGACTTTGAGCAATACTAAGGATGGAAAATCAAAGGCCTAAGGATCTAGTCAGCCAGTGAGGGAGCTCAGAGACAGAAAGGGGAACAAGAAAAGACTCCTGGGGGAAGGGAAGATGGTGAGCCAGCAAAGGAGGGAGTTTGAAATTTTCCCAGAAGACAAGACGAGCCAGGTTAGGTTTCTCAATACAAGTGTAACAACACTAGCTTTATGTGAAAGGAAGTTTAGTCCAGCAGGAGTTTGTTGGGGGGAGGGGAGGCAGGATGGAAGGTACATAAGGAGGCCATCCAGGTGGTAGGTTGGGGGACTGTATTAGTAGAAGTGTGATGGGAGAAGCTGTGAAGTCAGGGGACACTGGGAATAACGAGAAGTCTTTACTTTGCCTCCACCTCCACACCCTTAATCCCAGTCTCCTCCTGGTCAATGCCCAAGCCAAAGTTGACTGGGGGTTGAGCAGAAAGGCTGCGGGGTGTGTGTGTGAAAAGGGAGAGAAAAGTAAATAGTAGGCATTTAATAAATGTCTTAATGACTGCCTGTCTCAAGTCAAGAGGAACCACTGGACTTTCCTCAAGTGGGACGGACAAATCTGTCCCTTAAGACTATGATTCTGGCAGCTGAGTGAAGAAGAGCCTGGAGGCCCATCAGAAGGTTACTGAAGTAGTCTAGGCACAAACTGATGATGGTCTGAACTAGGATGGTGGCTATGTGAGCAGAAGAGGACAAATGTAAGAGATGGGTGAAGTGGAACCAGTCACTAGTATATTTGGCAACTAATTGGACAAGGTCCTTATGAGATGCTACAGAGCGGGAAGTGACTAGTAGCAGAGTGGATGTGCAGGGTAAGGGACAGTAAAGACCTGGAGATGACAGAGAGGGTGGAACTTGGGTGAACAGGGAATGGGAGGTTCTCTGGACAGAAACTGGTGAGGTCAGAAGAGGGGTGGGTTTGGTGGCGAAGACACTGTAAGAAAAATGGCAATCCAGACCACAATTTATCTGTACTTGTCCCAAACACTCCTCCCAAAGGGGTGATGCAGCTCCAAAGACACTATGGGGAGAGATAAGGGAGAAAAGCAAAGGGCGGGTATAGTAAGATGGCATATTTAAGTCAAGAGTGATTTGGGAAGGGTCTCTGATGGACAGGTTCTGTTTTAAGCACAAACATAATAATCTAGTGGAGATGTTCTTTAAAAAGTCATCCTTTATGGATTGAAACTGTGAAGGTCCTTGGGCGTCCTAGAGATGTTTTGAACTCCAACCCTCTGAAGCACGAATATTGTTTTCATAGGTGTCACATCTCTATATACTATTTCGCTATCTTTTTTTTGTTTGTTTGTTTGTTTTGCTAGGCAATGGGGTTAAGTGACTTGCCTAGAGTCACACAGCTAGTAAGTGTCAAGTATCTGATTCCGGATCTGAACTCAGGTCCTCCTGACTCCACAGCCGGTGCTCTATCCACGGCGCCACCTATCTGCCCCTTTACTGTCTTTTTAATGACATCACTGTCTGGGTTCTTATTCATAACCAAACCATATTTTAGCTATGAATGCATAAGAGAAATGAATAAGCCCTAAAATGCTACTGGTTAGTGAATGTTTGAATTTCATTGACAAAACTCAAACCAAGAATTGTGGTCACAAGAAGGAAAATTATACTCGTGCTGAAACATAGAGCCACCAGGGAGCTAACGCGATCCCCTCCTGAACCAGAATTCCCAGCTAAACACGTGGAACATAGAATCATTTGGCTTCTATGTAAAGACCTCCACGGAAAGGAGACCCCGACCTCTCCGATCAGCCCCTTCCCTCATTCCACTGTAGAAGGGCTTTAGTTATAAACATCTATTTTTTTTTTTGCTTTAAACTCACTCTCTTCTATCCAAAAGTCTAAATTGACCTAAACTTTCACCCACTGCTAAATTCACATCAACAAATAATTACTTACCTATTATGTGCTAGGCAAGGATGCCAGCCATCGGAGATAAAAAAATCAAACACTCTTTGCCCTCAAGAGCTTTCTACTGGGGGCAGGTGGCCGCATACAAAAAGATAAAAGCACAAAAAGCTAATTTTGGGAGAGGGGGCCCACAAATCATATTCACAACTACTCTTGGCTCTATCCTTTGGAGGTCAATTGTGTCAAAATTAAATCTCTGTGAAATATCTAAAGTCCTTGAAATATCTAAAGATATCTAGGTGAATTTGAATCTGACCTCAGACTCTCACTAGCTGTGTGACCCTGGGCAAGTCATTTCACCTCTGTTTGCCTTGGGGGCAGCTATGTGGCTCAGTGGATAAGGCGCTGGGCCTGGAGGCAGGAAGACTTAAGTTCAAACTGGCCTCAGACACATATGAGACCTTGGGTAAGTCACTAAACCTCTGTTTGATTCTGTTTCCTCAACTATAAAATGGGGGTAACAGCAGCACCAGGGTTGTTGGGAGTGTTCAGTGGGATGATGAGTGAAAAATGCTTAGCCCAGTGCCTGGCACACAGTAAGTGCCATGTTTGTCATTGTTGTTGTTGTGTATGCTTATTATTGTTGTTGTGGGTTCCACAACATGACTCTATCCTCCACCCTACTGCTCTCTCTCTCCCTGCTCTGGGCCATCTGCGCAGCTCCCTCCACCTCACTCACTCAGGAAAGGCCCACACGTGGATCTCTGGGGCATTAGAACCGTTCAGAAAAACATGGTGCCGCAGTGTTCTTGTTCTAAAATACAGCACCCGAAAAATCACCCCTGCAGCTTAATAAGAGAGTAAAAAGTGTAACTAAAGCAAGTAATCATGGTTCTTTAAGAACAAAGAAACCACCACAAAAACTCCCCTATTCTGAATTAGACAAGCAAAGAACTCTTTGCCAGAGCACCTAGTAAAGACCAACAACTCCTGTGGCACCTGGAAATGTGTATGCACAAACACATGTGCATGTGTATGTATGTGTGTGTATGTATAAATAAAATATACACACACATGTACACATATATACCAATTTGCCTACATATGCATTTCCATATATATTGATACATATATACACATGTGTGTATAACCTTAACCCAACCATATGCATGTGTATGTGTGTATACAGACACATATACACTGTATATATGTACACACACACACACACACGCACAAGACTAAATTTTGTTAGAAAAATAAAGATAGAAAAACACCTGAAAATGGCCCTTCCCCGAATGTGGCCCTTCAAGATCCCCTGCAGGCCAAGGGCTACCTTTAAATGGTAAGGAAGGGCAGTGGAACTCAGCAGATGATCTCAGATTTCGTTTTTGTGTTAACCAGTTTTTGTTTTGTTTTGGTTTTTGGTGAGGCAATTGGGGTTAAGTGACTTGCCCAGGGTCACACAGCTAGTGACTGTTATGTGTCTGAGGCCACATTTGAACGCAGGTCCTCCTGACTCCAGGGCCACTGATTTCTCTGCTGTGCCACATAGCTGCCCCTGTTGACCAGTTTTTTTCTGATTTCTTTTTTGCTTCTTCCTCTCTTACTTCTATTTCTTTTTGTTCCTTTTAATTCTTTGTTATAAAGGAGAGTTCTCTAGAAGAAGAGGAGGGAAAGGATACTGGGGAAATCTGGGCAACGTAAAAGTAAAAGAGCAATAAACATCTATTTTTAAATTTTTTTAAAAAGCACAATTTGATTCTGGAGAAAACTTCTCTACGATTGTAATTTAGAATGTAAGTTCCCTGTGGACAGGAAGGGGTCGTATGGCTTGCTTGCACCTATGAAGACACGCTTTACCCCTCCCACCTTGACCTGCTCGTTTGATAGCAGCTGGGATGAGAATTGGCCCAGGATGTGTTCAGGATGTTGTAGCACAGACTAAGGCCATCTTACCCCCACATTCACGCGTGCTCTTCTTGTTTAAGATTTTCAGGATGTCTCTGGTGATCTTCTTCAGCTGATGTCTCACCTCCTCTCGCTCTTTCCCAACCCCATACAGCAGAATTGTCCGCTGGTTACATTCATGACTTGAAGACTCATCCTGTGAATGAGAGCACATGTTGGGGAAAGGCTGCATATGGGCATGGGGTTGTGTACGGCGTAGGGGTGGGCTGAAGCCACAGTATCGCATGCACTAAAGGCAGTGTTATGGAAACCTGGGATGCTGCGTTTCTCTCACCCAGCCCTGCTCACTCATGCCAGCCTCCATTTTCGACAGCCTTGTTGCTCTAGTCAAAAACCATCAGATACACTGACTTTTTGGAAACAGGTATTTAATGATGTGTGCCCAGGTGTCTGGTACCAGCTACTTGCTGATTATGGAAATCACATTTAGGCACAATATGATATTATCTCCACATTAAATAACAGATGCTGCCCAGTACTAATTTCGTAAGGTAAATAGCAACTGTGAGCACTAATACTGTATTCTTAAATAAATAAAAACCACCTTTATAACTAGCAATTTTGTCACCCAGGGCAAGTAAACACCACCAAATGCACCCAGGACAAACAGTAAGAAAGGCTCTATGCCTGCTTTCTACGGCAAATTCATGTGTGAGGTGGGAGAGATGTCTGGCTACCCCAGAGGTGGAGAGAGAGATTCAAGGAGACAGGGACCCTTGGACACTAAGGCTGAGGCCATGGAAGACCTAGAAAGGAAGCAGAGTAAAACCAGGCTGGTGAGAAGCTTGCCAGGGTGTAACACACCTAAGGAAGGATTAGTTTATTTGTTTTTTGCTAAATCAGTTATTTCTATCTGCTGAAGCAACCTCTCTATTTCAACAAAGCACCAGTGGCCCCACCCCAGTTATGGCTCAGATAGTGACTGGGTCTTTTTTTCTTTTTTTAATTTAACAAAAGGTCACTTGTAAGATACTGCATGATGTACGATAAAACGTTTTATAGTTTATAAAGCCCTTCCCTTAACACTAACGCAGTCAGGCCAATACTATTAAAAGAGTCCTGAATAAGTGAAATTACTTTTTCAGAGTCCACAGCTACCAAGCACAGGAACCTGTATTCAAACTGTAGCCCCACACTGCGATTCATGAGACCTACTTTCTAGTATATTCATATCAAGAAAACGCTAAAATTTATAAAGATAAAGTAGATTATCTAGAATTAAAAAGCCTATTCTAACACACAAACCAACGAACCCACTAATATTCCATTACATTCATGATTACAATTTATTTTTGTTGTTGCTCAGTCATATCCAACTCTTCATGACCCCATTTGGGGCTTTCTTGGCCGAGATAGCGGAGAAGAGTTCACCATTTCTTTTTCCAGATCATTTTTACAGATGAGGAAACTGAGGCAAACAGGGTTAAGTGACTTGTCCTGGGTCATGCAGATACTAAGTGTCTGAGGCGAGATTTGAACTCAGGAAGATGAGCCTTTCTGACCCCAGCCCAGCACTCTATCCAGTACCACACAATTTGTTTAGCCATTCTCTGACCAAGGGGCATCTACATTGTTTTTCGCTACTATATCCTCCTCCCACTAGAAGAGTTGCAAACAACTGATCACATCATAATAAAATTAATTATAAGCCTGATAACAAATAAAATAATAGTCAAAGGTCAAGAGAGTCTATTGATTTTAATGTATGGCTTTTCCTTTGTTATCTATTAGAAAACTACTATTCATTCAACATTTTTCAGACTTATACACACATATACACATGTCATATATATGTGTTTCAGTGTATGTGTTTGCTTTTCTATCACCATCATTTCCAAATGTGCCCCCTTACAATTCCTAGCCAGAAAAATCATCCTTAGAAAAAACAAAGAGAAAGCAAAAAACATAATCAACACACCAACATGATCTAAAAGTAGGTATAATGTTTAGCACCCTTGGTCCACCACGTCAGCAAATAAGGTGAGGAGGTGCTTTTTCCTTTTTTTTCCTTTTTTTTTTTTTGAAGAGTGGATGGATATCTTTATTTTTAAAAGAAAATTCTGTGATTCCATGATACTGGGAATTGTTTTTTACCAAAAGGCAAATTCCTTGATTCTTGAGCTAATTTTCTTAGCCTCCAAAGAAAAGAGAAAAAGAAATTGCTTCACATGAAGAAAATGGACAAAGCTCCGTTTATGCCTCAAATCAAGGCATGCCACCCAAATAAGAAAAACAAGGAATGCTGCATTTAAACACTTCAACCACGAACCACTCCCTTAAGATCGGAAGGCACAAGCAGAGCTCTTAATCTGAATTTAATAATTCAATAATGCAAATCTTCTCTTCACAGAATTCTTGTGGCTTCTATTTTACTGAAGTATAAAAATAGTTTATTGAATCCAAATGACCAGTTTATATGAAGAAAACACAAATATAAATACCTGTTCTCTAAGGGCCTCTTCCCAGATCATTTATTTTGATAATCCAAGGACATTTTCATAGCCACAATGCTATGAATGATCAACTAATTAGTTAAATTCATATCTAAAACTCCATGCCTACTACTGGTCAGACTATGGAAAATAAAATCATGACCTCGTTCCTGGTATTAGAAGACGGAAGAGTTGAGGTTAGCTCATTGATAAGCAATATTCCAGTACTATCTTCTTTCATTAGACCACTTCATGAAATCATAGTTGGAAGATTCCTCAGAGACCTTCTAGTCCAACCCATATTTATGTCAGCTCTAATTTAAAGAAGAGAAAAGTTCCTTATACAAAGTCTACATTTGCCTCTTTTTAACCATCTACCAACTGCTTGTAGTTATGACCTCTGAGATCAAACAGAGTAAGTCTACTCTTCCCACAACGGGCTTTCTCTTTGTGGTGCCTAAGCAAAGGGGGTGATAGATGACCCAGGTGTTGAAGCCTTCCATTCTCAATGAGTACCAACATAAGATAGTAGATTTCAGGGTACCTTCCAAAATAGTATCAAAACTCACAGACAACATATCCAAAAAAGGAGAACTACTTGAAATGGGAAAATACACTTGTTTTCTTCCTAACAACTAATGAAAATAGATAAAAATATATTTTAATGATCTTTCTTCCCAAGAAGAAAATTACCATATTTTCCATCACTCTTTAAGGTACTATAATAAATAATTCAAATATGAAACCAAAACACAGAGAGTAATCATTCACTCTATTTCACCTCCAGAAAACACAAGAAAACTTATTTTTAAATGAATTTATGGGAAATATCTGCTATTAAATCTTCATCATAAATGTATTAAAAAAGATATCTCCAAGGAAGCATTTTTTTTCTGCTTTCAAATGAGCTTTATTTAAATCTTTTCTACTATCTCAAACATACCTCTCAGTTAATATTATCAAGATATAATACAGTACTTGTAACATCTCTCAGAATTTCCTTGCAGTGTAGCAGGTGATACTTTGCATAGAACAGACAATCTGGTGGGATAAGGTCAAATTACCAGAGCGTATCTCAATCGCTTTCCAGTTCAAGTGGTTACCTTACCCATAAGTCTGACAAATCCTAACAATTTAGAATGGACCTCTGACTCTGTTAGTTGACAGTAGACTTGAGAAATGAAGGAGAGGGAGGGAGGGAGGGAGAAAAGAAAGAAGAGAGACAGAGATCCAGAGAAACTGTTAAAGATGTTCACTAGTGAAGGTTTACTTTAAGAAAAACTATGCAAAAATAACAAATGATTAAGGATCTCAAGGAAAATACTGAAAAAAAGTAGGAAAGAGGAAACAACATTTGACAACTATGAAAGATTTAAGATCAATTCAATGACTCCAGAAGTCTGGTGATGAACTGTGTTTACCACCCCCTGGCAGGCAGGTAATGGACTAGAGGTGAAAATAAAGGCAGTTTGGGGGCACAAAGAAAATACTATTAGATACAATCAGTGCAATTCGGCCTCCGACACATACTGCGTGACCCCTTTGGCAAGTCAACAGATCTCTCTCAGGCTGTTTCCCCATCTTTAAAATGATGATCACATTAGTACCTACATTCCAGAGTTGTTGTGGGGATCAAGTGAGTTTTAAACGCTAGCTATTATTGTGATATACATTTTTGGAAATGGCTAATGAATGGCTTTATTACATTCAATTATACTTACTAGCTACATAACAGGACCTTTTCTTTGTGTATGTGCATGTGATTTCTAAGAGGGAATGGGGGTAGTCATAGTGATGAAAAAAATACAAAAAACCCCCTGAATAACCTATTTTTAAAATAGTAAAAAGGGGCTAGAGACAAAGAGAACCATGGAATTGCTGAATAATGAATCCCCTGAAGTGGTCACATAAATCTGAATTCACCCTATTCAAAGTTGTAATTACATAAAATATGCTAAGTGGTTCTAGCTCAATGGAAATATTTAACCCAAATTTGAATAATGACCACTTCATTATTCACATTAATCAGGACCTAAACTTAAAAATAAGTGGGATAAAATACAGATTCACAGTTTCAAATACATTCCTTCTGATATTCTTTATTATACAGAGAAATGCTCAAGTTTGTGATGTTTGTCAAGTTCATAATAGAACAACAAAAAGAAAATTTTTTAAAAATGACAGAGCAAAAAGAAACACTTGCTAAAAAAAGGGGGGGGGATAAACAAAAAAATAAACAAACCAACAAATGAATAAATAAATAAATAAGAGGGGTCTGATGGGGAAGAGCTTAGTAATAACCAAAGTAGGGTGGAAGTAGCTGACAGAACTGAAAGAAAGCAGTGGAAGATGTAAAAAAACATCAGGAGAGCATTACAAAGCCATCACTGATGAACATCCAGAGTGCAGAACCAGCTACTGACAAATGGCTAGAAAAGAGGGCAATGACGGGAAGGAAAGTCAAGATCATCACTTGGAGGGCATCAGTGACAACAGTAACTATGCCCTTCAGGAGCGGGGACGGTCTGCTCCCATATATACTACCCCAATCCCTTCACAGGTATTTTGGCCACACATTTTCCTTTCCTGCAAATGTTAAAAATAATTCCTAAAAAGGTTTTCTTTTCCTACAGTTGTTCAAAGTGCTTTGTTTATGGGGGAACTGTTATGGTATTATTTTGTTTATATTAGTATTCAACAAAAATGCCTTGGTTAGTGAGTAGAATGTGTCATATGGCTGATTGCTAAGATGTAAAACACATCAATGCAGGATGTATAAGCTACAATTTGGAGAAGACTGACCCACAAAATATCTTTGGAGTTAACTGGAGACTAGAGTGAACTCTACCTTCCACCATATACCCCTTCACCACCATATCTATAATATTTTTGGCTCATCGTCATTGTTTTTAACAATTTAATACTTAGCTTTTTAATTAGAACTAAGTTGGATAATTCGAACTATTCCTCAAAATACCCACAAAGTATAGGAATTCAATAAATTTTTTATGCCATCTTTTAAATTAGAGGATATTGTATTTGAAATTCTTTCTTTACAATGGGAGAAAATATTGTGGACCAATGAGTTAAGACGTGGATCAAGAGATTATTAAGAGCAATCCTTTTGCCGGCAGGCAAGATGCCCCAGAAATACAAGACAGAAGTTTAATGATCCTATCTAGAATTCTGATTAAAGAGATCAGAATCTCCATGATGAAATTTTTACAAGGCCCAAAAGTCCTCATTTCGGGGAAGTTTTGATTCATTCCTCCCTGAGCCGCTTTTCTGGCTCTACAATGAGTAAAGATAGATTGTAGCACTGTCTTAAAAACAAATCATTCGATACAGATTTTTCCATTGAAACCACCAAGTGTCTTAAAAACAAATGATTCAACACAGATTTTTCCACTGAAACCACCACATTATTGGTGCTTGGTTGATTTCCACAGAAGAAGGGAACCATAAATTCACTTCTATTTGATTCAGACTCTGGTCCTTTACTAACTACATGCAAAGCACTATGCTAGGTACTTGATATGAAAAACGAAATAAGGCACAGTCCCTTTCCTCTGAGGAATCATGACCTAATATGTATATCTTGTCTACCCAGCACATACATAGAAGACATATATATGTTGATAACTGTGGAACAGGAAGAATGGATTAAGTATTAGTGTCAAAGAAAGGTCATCATGGCAAAGGGCTATGAAAAAATCCAAGTTGGCTCAGATCGCAATCTCCTGGGAAGATCACAGATGGCTTCATTATATTAACTAACATTTATATGTAGTGATGTGAAGGTATTTATTCTCATTTCCTCCTCTGAACCTCAAAATAACCCTGAAAATAAGAGGGAGATGTCATTGTTGAGTCATTTCAGTCATGTCCAACTCTCAGTGATCCCATTTTGGGTTTTCTTGGTAAAGATACTGGTGCAATCTACCATTTCCTTCTCCAGCTCAACTGAGGAAACTGAGGCAAACAGGGTTAAGAGACTTGCCCAGGGTCACACAACTAGTAAGTGTCTTGAACTCAGATCTTCTTGACTCCAGCATTCTATTGACTGCATCACCTAGCTGCCTTCTGGGAGATAGTGCATATATTATCGTCCCTAATTTTCTGAGGGGCAAACTCAGTCAAGTCAGTTGTCCGTGACTGCAGAGTTCCTGTGTCAGAGGCTTTCGGGACTTCAAGACCCTCAACTCTCCCTAATAAGAGCCAGTGACACACAATCACACAGTTGGTTGAAGGCAGACTCAGACTTCTTAACTTAGACGAGCACTCTGACAATTAAGACTACCCATGATTCTTCCCAGGAAATACTACGTCACTGGAAAACTGGCAGGCTTTTAAGGTAACAGTTATCAGGTCCCTGTTACTGTCTTCTTCAGTAACTAATCGCAAATGCAAAAGCAATCTCAAATGAGGTGGCCTTTCCCCAAAGGACAGACGCAGAGGCTGGCTTCAGTATTCCAATCAATTTCACTGGCCATTGAAGCAAATCAGTCCAGTGATCAAATTGAAAATAATTATTTTCTATGTGGCTAAAAAGATATTCTTTTTATTAGAAAGTATTTGGTGCCCTAGACACAGTGGAAAGGCTATGTTCCTTTCTTTGGCTTGGTAGAGTTATTTTCAGAAGCAGACTTGGAACTGAAATCCTGTAGCCGTGCAGGATTCAATTCTAACTAGAGACGAGACACTGATAGAGCCAGAATCCCTCTCTCCCTCCCCTCCCCCTCCCTCCCAAAATAGTGACAATGCACCGTTAGTTGTAGTGTACAGACTCTTTAAGCAAGACAGGGTACTTTTTTTTTTAATAGAGATAGTGTTGTTGGGGTTTTTTTGAGAATTTTATAGTTACAAGTTGCTGATTTGCGACTGTCAGAAAGACTAAATTAACTAAATCCTAGTATAGATGACATATGCATAGCCCTGTTTGTTGTCATTTTTCTCAATTAACTGTATTCACACATTTGAGAAAAAATCTGGAAAGGTTCTCCAACCAACCAAATTCTCAACATAGAAAGTCTATAATATGGAAATATGTTTTACATGGTTGCACATACATAACCTGTATCAAAATGCTTACCATTTTAGGAAGGGGGAAGGGAGGGAAGGAGGGAGAAAAATTTGGAACTCAACATTTTTTTAAAACATGAAATGTTAAAAATTGTCTTTATGTGTAATTGGAAAAAATAAAATTACTATTGAAAAGAAAATAATACATAGAAAGTCTAACTAATTACTTAGATAAGGGATCTCTGTTCTCTTTAGAGACCTCAAGTTCATTTTGGCAAACTGAGCTTCTTGAAGTTATAATGATTTTCTTTCCAGCGCTGTCTTTCATCTGGAATCTTAAAAGTACTTTATAAGCATTAATTAGAGCTTGCAATTACTCTTTAAGGTACACTTAATCTCATTTTATTTGAGAAGGGGATTTACTAAGGCTTAGACTTCCCAAGGGTCATCTAATCAGATGCATACTTGGAAATAAAGTTCTATCTGTATGCAAGCATCTTGGATTCAGAGCTAGAAAGTACCGATCTGTATGCAAGCATCAGCCCATAGGAACTTGGATTCAGAGCTAGAAAGTACCCAAAAGAGCATCTTCTCTAACCCTTTTGTTGTACAGGTGTGGAAAATGAGGCTCAGGAAGTCACAGCCAGGAAGCAAACCCTGGTCCTTCTGACTTCAAGTCCAGGGAATTATGTTTATTGCTAGTACCGTTTATTTCTCATCCGCAGCATGACAGGTCCACATTGAAGGGGAACTTTGCAGATCATGGTGGAGCACAGCACCAATAGCATCTTTTCCAAAAATATCCAATCCAGAGCCGAAAACCCGAACTGCACAAAAGTATCTTGTGTGTGATACTTACCAGTGCTATCAGTGGGAAAGAGCAAGGGGGCTACTGCTTTGCAGGGTAGTTTTTGTGCGCCAGTGTCTTTGTGCAAAATGTATTCTTCTAGAGAATAACCACAAAACTGAGTCATTATGTAACTAAAGATATGGACTTAATATGGTCTGAACTCTTTCTTATCTTAAGTCACTCCAAAAGGCGTAAGAATAAATAGCAGTTGCCTAATATTAACAGACTATCCTAAGCATTTTTATAGAAACATGTTCACCATATACACAGACACAAATTTAAAAAGAATCCATTTCTAATACAAAACCAGTCAATTACTCCCAACTTTGGCAACAGCGGGGGGGGGGGGGGGAGGTTTGCTTCAACTCTTTTCTGCTTTCAGCACTGGGAAATAACTCTCCCAAATCAGTTAGGTTTTACTATGTTAAGAAATAGCATTGTTTTCTTCAAATTATCTCATCTTCCTATTTCACTCCCTTTAAAAATATTTAAGTAAATATTTAATTCCTATTAATCTACTAATAAGCATTTAATGAATATGGACTATCCCAAAGTGACAGAGGCTTACTGCTTGTCTGACCTTGGATAAGGTACATATTCCCTGGGCCTTTGTTTCTTCATTTATAAAATAAGTGGTTTGAATGAGAAGATCTCTGAGATCCTTTCTGGGTCTAGATCTAGATCTTTTTACCCCAACTTGGACTCCCTGCCCTTCCCCCCTCCCCCCAAAAATTAAGCTACTTACAAACGGAAAGAAGTAACTACATGCTGTGTTCAGGGTTAAATTCTATTCCAGAAAACTAGAGAAAGACTCTTTATACAATAAGCTCAGTAATGATAGAAAAGGCTTTCTTTCCTAATGTGATTGGGCCTTCTGATACGTTATAATGTGGGGAAACTGTTCCGCTTATAAAAGAGCTCATGAAACACTGCTTCAGGGTAATGACATTAGCAGCCAGGCCCCAAACCAAAGGTAAAAGACTTAACATCCCTCACAAGCACTCAATGCTGAGCTAATGTCATTATGTGCTCCAAGGTAATGGATCACACAGTGTTTGAACACAATTTCATCACTTTCAGTTAAATACTCATCTGAAAGAGCCAAGGCCACAAACTGAAAGAAATGGGCTTTATTTATTTTCAAGCTGAAAAAAAAATACTGTCAGAAGAGTTTAAATACAAGAAGAATCATCTGGACAAAGTGTCTCTGTAAAAGACTTGTATAATTCAAATGGCTTTTTCAATGATGACCTCTCAACTCCCTCCCTCTCTTTCCTCCCCCCTCCATTCACCCGCCAACCCCCTCCTTTCCCCAGGAAATAAAAGCAGAAGTGGGACAAACAGTGCAGTGGACGGTCAAAGCCTTAGTGTGGCTTGTGCACAATTGGTTTTAAAGGTAATCTCTAAGACTAAAAAGTCATCTCATTCTCTCTAGAACACCCACGATCAGACTGATGAAACCATCTGTATACTGAACAAGCTTTGTCATCTTTAAAAAAAAAAAAGGAAGGAAGAAATAAAGAGCAAAAGACCAGATGCTTCTCTCCAAGCAGGATTAACATCCAGTGACTGAATAAATTCAGATCCTTCAGAGCCTTATTCCAGAGTGAGTAACTTTCAATCTAGAAGTATATTGCAATATCTATGTCGACAAAATAAAATGTTTTAGAATTGCTTTCATGATGTAAAACACACATAAATATATAACATATATTTAAGTGTATCTATATGATATTATTATGTATACTGCTACTCTATACAGCACCTGATAAATAATGATACACAAAGAAGTGAATTTAGTTCGTGGATAATATAAGTCTGTATCGTATTTCCTCTGTGGTGTTAGAGGAAACCTTCAAGAGTTCTAGGTTAAGAAATGATAGCTTATTTTACTGTCAGAAAAATGGCTGAGATTGAAACATCAAACTATTAAAGGGGTTTGATAATAGTATTTGGAATGTACTTTTAAAAATATAAAATCTATTTACTTCTGATAGGAATCATTATTAAGTCGAACTGTTCAGAGCTCTGCCATCAGGGTCGCGTACAAATGTGAATAACATCCCCAGACAAGGAAGCACAGAGCCAGATGTACTATCCACATTTATCTTTTTTTTTAATAAGGAATTGATTGTATTGCATTGTATCCACAAGCTCTGAGAACAATCCCTGGTATATATTAGATGTGTAGAGTTGTTATTTGACTATCATAACTGGATTAATTTTAGAAATCTAAACTAGGCTTGAAGTTACATTAAGAATGATTTACAATTCTCTGTTATAACAATAAAAAATAGAATTCTCTGTGCTGCAAAATGCCAAGCTCTTGTAGTGGACAAAGATAAAATCTACCATTACAAGATTAGGAACCACTCCAACTTAGGACTTTCCAATATGTCACTACCTGATAAATAGGTAGATGCTTCAAGGCTATCAGCACCAGGCCTAGTGGATAGAGGGCTGACCTCCACACCACTGGTTCAAGTTTTAGCTCTGACAGTGCCAGCTCACTGATGCTCTACACAGTTTTCAAAATATGGTCCAAGGACCTAGAGAGGGTCTCTGAAACCCTTTCAAGGGGTCCATGAGGTTGGATATCAATACAATAAAACTAAGATGTTATCTGCCTATTAAAATACATCTCCCTTTTCCAACTACATAACTGTATGAGGCAGGATTTTCTTCATGTTTTCTTCAACCAAAACAACAGACTGAATGCAGAAGTAGATATGAGAACCAAGTTATCTTCTTTTAAGATCTGCAAAACCCTTCTCATTAAATTTTTTGCTTTGAAAAGTAGTTTTTCTTTAAAAAAAATAAAAATAAAACCTTTTATTTAAGATATAGTATGTTTATTATTCTTGTTATATTTAAGAGAACCAAAAATATTTTAAAATTAATAGTCAATCTCTAATACAGTAAATTCAGATAGATATAAACCATATAAATAAAAGCTCTCTGGGGTCCTCAGTGATACTTAAGACTGTAAAAGGGTCCTGAGAACAAGAATGGTTGAGGACTGCTTCTCAAGAAAACTAAGTTGCAGAAGATAAGATACTGACCTGCAGACATAGTTTCCTCCCCAAGGACTTCTCGACACCAATAAAATTACAGGTTCAACCCCCATGACTTAAAGGTTGCATGATTTCCTCAATGTGCAGCTTGCAACTCCACTCCATGACTTTGGAGAGGGTTTTTGAGAGCTGTGATCTAAAAATTCATCTCCTTCCGGACGCACTGGTGAGGAGATTCTTTCTGACCTTGGATATAGACTGGTGCTCGTTGACATGCAACTAACAATGACCCAGCCTCATCACACATGCTATAAAGGTGATACTCCATTCCCACTGCCCTTGAAGACTAGGGGTCAACTCCATCACTAGGAATCATGGGATTAACACACAGTGGAGGATGTAGCACATGGTGGATGAAGTTTATCAATAAACAGAAAGCTATTTAAAAAGGTGAGCTTGATTTGTTTTTTATGCAAAAGAAGAAATTCATTTGCATTTCAATTCTAGGGCACCGGATTACACATCCAAATGATTGTTCCTTCCCTCCCCCCCCCTTTAAAGCTCTCTATAATAGGCATGTTGAGAGGCAGCATAGTAGAGTGAAGAGCAGCACAGCAGGCTTCAGACAGTCAGGTTGACCTGGGTTCAAATCCTGCCTCTGACACACACTGGTTGTGAGAACCTGGGGCACTTCACCTCCTGGTGCCCCAGGTAACTATTTGGAACTACAAATCATGGAGCACTTGGTAATCTGCAATGGCAGCTGGTGATTTCTAAACATGAATGTCTTGCAGAAGTTCCCAAACTTATTTGACCTACCGCTCCCTTAAAAAAAAAATTATTCAGCGCCCCACGGGAAATCTTACAAATTAGGAAAGAAGTCTCAGATTGAGTACTACTACTGCCTGCCATGGATTCTTCCAGCGCCCCCCAGGGGTGGTATTGCCCACTTTGGGTAAGAGGGATGAAATCACAGGTCCAGAGGAAAAAAGAAAATGGTAAGACATAATCCAGAAAACCATATTGGGAAAGCATTTTGCTCCATGATCAGGTAAACAAAGAATTCTCCAGAATAATCCTGAGATTCCAAATTAAACATGTTCTGTTCCTTCATTATTTCATCATTTACCTGTTTTCAAATTAAAAACTGATCAATGGTATTGAAGAAAATGTGCTTCAAAAAAGCCTCAGGATTTGAGGGGGGAAAAAGATTACAATGATCTCAGTTGAAAGAACTTTTCTCTAAAGTGGGGATTCTGCACCCTGTGATCATCATTAGATAGGAAACAACTCTCTATGTAAAAGCTTCTCTCTCAAACCACCACATTTTATTAAAATAATCAACAATTCAGAAGGAGAAAAAAATTCAGATCTCAAAATCTTATAAAAGTGAATGCTGAAAACTATCTTTACATGTAATTGTAAAAAATAAAATACCATTAAGTTAAAAAAAATTGCAACAATAAAATATGAAAAAAAAAACCCAACCCATACGGTTTGCTCTGTAAACTTGTCAGGAATATAATCTGAGGCAATAAATAAAGTCTGACAGGCCAACTAAAAAAATAAAAATGAAATGACAATTCAGTCACCATGAACTTAAATTCTAACTTCTCAATAACGCGGAGTGACAAGAAGATAGTCTGATTCCAAATACAGATAATTTTAAAACTTAAACTCACAATATTTCTACTAAAGGGGAGAGTTAAAACCTACAAATCTAAGCAAAATCACATTCATGAGGTTTAATACAATATTTACATTAAAAATACATATTAATATAAATTTATATATTATATTATATTTGTATAGATTATTTCTATCTAAATATATTTACATATTATATGTTTATACATAATGATTTATACATAAATCATTATCTATTATGTATAAATATATTTGTACATAATGTGATTTATATATAAAGATATAATCTATCTAATCTATTATATATAAATGTCATATAATATAGGTTTATAATCTATGCAAATATATAACATTTGTATATATTTAGCATGATAGGTGTATATGTATATATATTTTTTTGTTTTTTTTTTTTCGTTCCAAAGGTAAGAAGGGGGAAATGAGTGACCTCTACAACTTCACAAATGGAACTGGAAATGACAGTCTCTGTACCAGAGACTACAAAATCACCCAAGTTCTTTTTCCCTTGCTCTACACAGTCCTGTTTGTTGTTGGGATCATCATGAACAGTCTGGCAATGGGAATTTTCTTCCAAATCCCCAGTAAATCTAACTTCATCATCTTCCTCAAGAACACCGTCATCTCTGATCTTCTCATGATACTGACTTTCCCCTTCAAAATTCTCAGTGACGCAAAGCTGGGGGTGGGGCCGCTGAGGGCGTTTGTGTGCCAGGTCACCTCTGTCATATTCTACTTCACCATGTACATCAGCATCTCGTTCCTTGGCTTGATCACCATTGACCGGTACCAGAAAACCACCAGGCCATTTAAAACGTCCAACCTCAACAACCTGCTTGGGGCCAAGATTCTGTCCGCCGTGATTTGGATATTCATGTTTCTCCTGTCATTGCCAAACATGATCTTAACCAACAAGAAACCAGAGCACTTGAATGTGAAGAAATGCGCTTTCCTGAAGTCAGAGTTTGGCCTGGTGTGGCATGAAATTGTCAACTACGTCTGCCAAGTCATTTTCTGGATCAATTTGCTCATCATAATTGTATGCTACACGCTGATCACAAAAGAGCTCTATCGATCCTATGTAAGAACGAGGGGGGTGGGCAAAGCGCCTAAGAAAAAGGTAAACATCAAAGTGTTTATTGTCATTGCTGTGTTTTTCATTTGTTTTGTGCCTTTTCATTTTGCCAGAATTCCCTACACTCTAAGCCAGACAAGAGATGTTTTTGACTGCACTGCTGAGAATACCTTATTTTATGTGAAAGAGAGCACCCTGTGGTTGACTTCCTTAAATGCATGCTTAGATCCATTCATATATTTTTACCTCTGCAAATCCTTTAGGAATTCCTTGATGGGCATGTTGAGACACAGAAATGCTCCTACAATGTTCTCACCCCAGGAAATCAGAAACAAAGGGCAGGACAACAGCAGCCCATCTGAAGAGATCCCATTATAGAGTAATTGAAAAAACATTTCCATTACTCTAACTTCGTTGAAGAAAAGCACTATATAAATAAAAGTATTATTGCTTACTGAGAAGCAGGTGAGTTGATGGACAAATCCACTGAAACAAAGAAATTTTTTAGAGAAGCCAACAAAATATTTTATTAACCTTCAGTTATGACCTTTCAGTATTCTAAGCTATCGTTAATATGTAGGGAAGTAACCTAATGGAAAGGTGTGTAACAAACTACCATATAACAGAGTCATAGAGCATAGTAGAAAGACACAGATGTTTTTCCAAGATTATATAGCGAACTACCTGCTTTGATTTTTTATTGATAAGGTTCTCTTATTAAAGGGAAAGGAATGGTCCACCTTTTGAACAATAATTATTACTTAACAAAACTTACAAATGTTAAGGTATTAACTCCTAACTCAGTAACTGACCTAAATATTTAAGTAGTTTTGTTGTCATAAGTGGGCAACAAAGGTCATAGTGCATATCTGATAGTGGACTACGAACATTAACTTGACTGATGGAACACAAATGAAAATGAATTTTATCTTTAAATCAGCATTAAGTAAATAAACTTCTCAATTTCTAAAGAATGTGTCCTTCACTTAATGGGAGCAGAGACACTAGAGAAGGAAAATATGTGTTTCTAGTACACTGATATTCAGTCATGAAAGCAATTCAGAAACTGGAAATAGATTTTTAGCTTATAATTCTGACTATTTATGGGGTAAAACACTGTTAATTATGCTTTAGGGAAACTGACTCATTTCCAGATAATGTTTGATTTAATAGATATTTCTGTGTCTAATATTTCTTCAGCTTCTATGCTGAAGTACCACCTGGTCATCATAAAGAATGTAAGTGTAGAACCGTAATTGTCATCATCATTAGGTCTTTATTTACATACTATTATGCAAGCTAACTCAAAGGTAGAGCAGGCTTAACTGCAAATGATAAAACAGTAGTTAAAATTACACATGAATCTGTTCTACAATTTTTCCTTATCACAAAAACATTTCATCTAAATATATGTGTGTACACTAACGTGCTCCTCTCCAAGACGTCATCAGGGCACGGGGGTGATGTGGAAGAATCAAAGGCTAACCCAATGGGGTGCAGCCTCTGGCAGGTTTCACAACAAGATGGAAAGGCCTTTTCTAAGGGCTGGTAACTACTGTCTGTGCTGAAAGGACCAACCTAGCTGCGCTAAGAGAAGATCAAAAATTGAGACATGGTTTTTCTGAGGACAGTAACTAATGGACAGAGGTGGAAGGTCTTCTGAGGGAGACTGCAGAGGTGGAGGGGATGCCCATACCGCTGAAATCTCTGATCTTTAACAGTGTCTCTACATCTGTCTTACCAGTTGTTTCACCATAATGGCCAAACCTTAAGGACTATTCAAAACTAAAAATATAAATAGGCAACAATTCATATGACTTTTGAAAATGATACTGTCAAAAAATTCAATTCAATAAGCACTTGCCTATTAAGTACCATATATATGAAACCCAATCAGTTCACTAGACTAATACGACAGTGGGTTATCTCACCTGACTTATCTTCACACATTTTCTAAAGATAAAAAATGTGAACTGCTGAGCTTTTGTGTAAGTACCAATATGGTACTGCTTGGGTCAGGAGTGGGGAACTGCAGCCTCGAGGCCACATGTGGCCTTCTCGGTCCTCTGGTGAGGCCTTTGGACCAAGTTTTACAGAACAAATCCTTTGATTAAGGGGATTTGTTTGGTGAAGTTTGGATTCAGTCAAAGGGCCACATGCGGCCTCAAGACCCCAGGTTCCCCATCCCTGGCTTAGGTTATGCCATTTTACTACAAAGTATTTATGTCACCTTTTATGCTTCACAGATGCCCATGAGATTTCAATTCTGAAATTTACATTAGAATTTCATATGAATAATTGTCGGGGGGGGGGAATGGCCTAATATTTTAATTTTCAGTGAAACCACATCATTACATTTCATAGTAAGTCAAAATGTCTTAGGTGTAAATGCACCATGAAGAAACCATTTTAAATGACTTTTCTTGTGAAAGGAAAAAAAAGCTTTAATTAAAGGTAAAGGAATACAGGTCTGTGGAGTTTTCTAGATACTTGTTACTAATTTTTGATATCAATAATTAAACTGAGAATATTGTTTCACTGAGTAAAAGGAGGGAAGGGGAAGATACAGTGGAAAATCTAGGTGATGTCAGAATAAAAGATATTAAAAAATGTATGTTTATTAAAAATGGTCAAAAGGAAACTCAGAGGAATACCTTATTTTTTTTTCATGTAAGAACTGAAAAATATTTTGTTTATAAGCCAGGTATGTAACACAACTGATTTACATTAAACTGTTAACTACTTCTCACTGGTATCTTTTTCTTTGAAAACAATAACATTTGTGAGTGACAGCTCTCAGAGTTCCAAAGGTGAAACTCATGGCCAATGATGAATCAAGTCAAATCCTCAGATAAGCCTATGTGGGAATGAGCAAGAAGGATTGGACTTCCTGTCTTCCAAAACATATATTAAGGCTGTGTGCTCTTAGGTTTGTAGTATGATGAACCCACACATTTAAAGATAAATATAAACAATAATTTATAATTTAAATCCATGGGAAAATCTGACTCGATAAAGTCAGAGATATACTTGAACCTCCCAAGGTGAAAACTTTACTGGGTACAATGGCCCACCAGGTGTGAGCTCCTGAGAAGGCCACCCTGGTGCGACCAGGAGACCTGATATCTTGGGCAAAATCAAACAGAAACAGATTCCTGTGGGCCATACGTTGGCTTAGAAAAACACAAATTTACATGATCTCTGTTGTATTATTTATTTATTCTGTTAAACATTTCCCAATTACATTTTAATCTGATTGGCAGGCATTCTAGGATTTTGTGGGCCACATGGGCTTGTGATTTTGACATCTCTGGTTAGCAGTTTCATTTTGAATGTCTAAATAAAGATTCCCGTTATTGGTTTTAAGGATTAACCCTGTCTCCTCCTTAAAAAAAAAAAGGGAGGGGAAGCAACTCTGATTGTGTCTTCAGCTACTATTTCTGCTGACTGAACTAGGACCAAAGAGGTTTTAACTTGGGGTCCACAGATTCCCTCCAACTCCCCCACCCCAAAACCCCAGCAGCCCATTGGTAGATTCCGAGGGGTCTGTGAACTTAGATGGGGAAGAAATAAAAACAAAAACTGGCCTCCTTGCTTTCCTTCCCATTCAGCATTAGGAAGTAGCACCCTTTTCTTTGGTAATTCCCTACTTCTGTTAAAGCCCAGCATCCTCATATGTCACCCAGACTCACAACCTCTTCCTTCTACCTCCCCACTTCACCAACTTTCCACACTGAATCTGTTGCAAAGACTTTTGTATCCATCTCCATTTAGTCACCACCCTCCTTCAGATGCCATTTTCCTTTACAATTACATGCTTCTAGTCATACCTCTCTCCTATCCACCCTCTACATAGTTGTCAAAATCATTCCTAAAGACACTTGTCAGACCACGTCTCCTCTTAGACCTTTACTGGATACATACTTAGAAAGGCTTTGAGGCCACAATCTGACCCTGCCTAACTCCTCTGCCCTATTTCATATGGTTGTCAGCCACACCTATTTTTTGGTACATCTGGGCTCCACGAACTTCATCCTCCATCTTGCTTATCCATGCTTTCCCACAGTTACTCCCTATTGCTTAAACACATTCCCCCCGTCTCGATCTCTCAGAATCCTTGTTGTCCATCTTTTCAAGGCTCAGCTCAGCTTCTGCCTCCTATAAGAAGTCTTTCCTTGTTGCCCCATTTCGTAGTGATCTTTCCCTCTACAAATGTCCTTAAACTGAACCATTTGTTTCATTGTCATAATCTAACCTTCCTTGCCCCTCCTTAAATGATATCTCCTTGAAAGCAAAAATTGTTTTGACCTTTGTCTTTTGTAATTCACTTAGTGTCTTGAACATTGGTGCTAAATGAATGTGCACTGAACTGAGTCGATGACAAGCTCATATAAGTTTTTTGGTTTTTTGTTTTGCATTTTTTGCATTTCCTTCATCTCTAATCAACTATCAGAGTATAGAGATTAGGCCCAGTAAACAGTTTGGAAGTGGAGAAAAGATATACCGGTGTTTGGAAATTTCCAATATGAATCATGAAAATGTAGAAAATTGTGAGTTGACTATATTCCCATATACAAATAAATCAATCAAAAATCATCTATTAAGCACAACAAGAATTGTAGTATAATCTTTGCCTTGAAGGAGCTGCATTTAAATATATGTGTGTGTGTGTGTGTGTGTGTGTGTGTGTGTGTGTATTTAAATACATAATTAATTAACCTGTAATTTTCAAAGTTGTCTCTTTATCTGTGATTCTTTCTGGTTTTCTATTTTCTTCTGTATATTCTTAAAAAAAAAGATGCTTCAATCACTCTTTCCATACTTCACTATTCTATTCTATTCCTATCCACACTCTGTATCCCATTTTCTCCTTCCCCCAAAAAAGTGGGGGTATATATTGTGTGTGTGTGTGTATACACATGCATGTATACACAGACATACATACATATACGTACATAGTCAAACTAAACAAATTCCCACATTGGCCATGTTTAACATAAACCTGTCACATTCTGCACCTTGAGACACTGAAAGGAGGTGAGTAGCATATGAATCCTGTGGAATCATAACTGGTTACTATATGCATTAATGTTTAAGGACCTCTCTCCCAGAAAGATATTAGGTCACTATTAACTGGGTTATAATAAAAGCAAAGAGGTTAATTTACTGCCCAACTGGCTTAGAAATACTTTGAGTATGCCTTCACTTTAAAAGTTATCCTCCCAAAAGATCTTTGCCTAAAACAATTGTAAGTAGCTACCCTTAAGGCAGTTCCTCTTTTGAGGGCCCATTTCCCACCTTATGGCATTTTGAAATGTGACTGAAATGTGATTTCCCCGTTTCTTTCCAAATTATGAAAGCATTTTCAACAGCATTTCCTGTTAGAACAGTGAACTAATTACAGTCATTCAACAACCTAATGAATTGGGATGTATGGTCAGGGTGAATGCTTATTCCTTCACCTTCAGAGCAAAATGAGATTGTATTCTCTATTCCATAAAAAAATGAACAAAAACTTAGAAGTCATGCTATGATTTTTTTACCTCATTTCTCGAGGCCCCAAACTGTCAAACATGATAGAACCCTTCAAAGGCCATCGACATCCACCAGGTAGCCACCTACACCACTTATATGCCTCATTCTGATAAACGTAGCGATCAGCAAGATTCAAGTAGCTTGTGAAATACCAACATCTCACTCTGAAAATTCTTAGAGGGCCCCTGAAAACAATTCTTCCTGTACTAACTGGTACCGGTTCATCACGGCCAATCACAGTCCCTCTGCCCTCTCTTGCAGCTGCCGATATCTGCTTTCAAGAAGCACAGAGTGAAACAGATTAAAGAGCTCCACACCTCCCTAAGAGACCCTCTGGCTTCCCTTTCCCTTTTGTTCTGCACAGCAACTTGCTCTTTTCCCACACGAGTTTCCTAACAGGCCTTCTCCTGTGCTCAGGGTAGCTTTTTGGAGCTTGATGAGAAGAGGGCGAATTCTATAGAGCTAACGTTGCTGTCGTCCAAGAGAACCTCTGAAGTCTTACACACCGTACACATGGTGATTAATGAATGCAGAGCACAGGAATTCACAGGAACCTGGCAGAGAGCTTTCAATTCTCAGCACAATAACATGTAGCCAGTCAACCAGCATTTATTAAATGCCTGCTATATGCTGGACACCGTGTGAAAGCACTGTTGTTTGCCCTTCATGGACAAATGATGTCATGGACCATGACATCAGGGAGGTGATGGCATGACACAAAAGTGAATTGGACTGAAGTGAGGGAGGGCTGTGCAAAGTCACCACTTTCTCCTCTGGAGCCATCTGGGTCCAGTGGCCAGATACAGATCAGGCCTGCGCTTCGGATACTAAGGAGGGAGTTTGTATCTGATTGGGGTGGGGGACTGTATATATATGTGCATAAATCAGTTCAGTTCAGGGTAGATGGAAGGTAATCTCAAAAGGAAGGCATTTGGGGTAGAGCAAGGCTACTACAGAGAGTGGGATTAGAATGAAATCTTCAAACTAGGCCATGGAATTTAAGGAGCAGAGGGGAGAGGGCAGAGGATTCTAAACACGAGTGATTGCCAAGGCAAAGCAACTGTAGGTAACAGAGCAAGAGTACAGAGGATCAAAGAAAGAGCATGTGGAGAGGAGCAAAGTATAGGAAGATTGGAAACGGAAGAGTTCTGAATGCCAGGGGATTTTACATTTTATCATGCGGCCAACAGAGTTTGCAGAGCAGGGTGGTGATGTGGTCATTGGCATGGGGAGAGATAAGGCAGGGAGGTGAGTTAAAACAGAATTGAAACAAGTCTAGCTGAGGTTAAGGATCAGTTAAAATGTTATTGGAACAACAGGGCCTATATCCGGGTGACAGCTGTGTCAGTGGACAGAAGGCGCCATATACAAGAGATATTGTGAAGTTTGAGCGACCTGAATATTTAGGGTAGAAACAACAAGACTTGACTACAAACTGGATATTGACATGAATAATGGCGAGGAGTCAAGGATGACACATAAGATATGAGGCTGGGCAGGGGACAGGCTGGGAACACCGTGGTGCCATAAACAGTAATTAGGGACATTTAAAAAAGGGAAAAGTTCTGCGGTAATGAGATGTATTTTGGACAAGCTGAGTTAAAGATGTCTGTGGAACATCCAGTCTGAGATGTCCAAAAGGTATTTAGAGATATACGACAGTAGAAAGGTCAAGGCAAGGTACATAGATCTCAGAATCACCCGCAAAGAAATGGTCATTGAACTCATGGAAGCTGATAAGACAGCGTAGGGCAAAAAAGGCCCGGGAGAGAGCCTTTTGGGATGTCCCTGGTTAGTGGGCATGACATAAATGCTGAGCCAGGAAAGGAGACAGAAGGAACAATCAGACAGACAGCAGGAGAACCAGGAGAGAACAGAGCCGTGAAAACCTAGATGGGAGAGAGAATCCAGGAGGAGAAGGTGATCCCCAATATCAAACACTGAAGAGGGGTCAAGAAGCATGACCGGTATTTTGATCTGGCCATTGAGAGATCATTCTTCACATTGGAGAGAGCTGTTTAAGTTGAATGATGAGGTCAGAGTCATATTAAAAATGATTCAGAAGATAATGAAGAGGAAGTGGGTAAAGAACTTTAAGGAATTTAGCTGCTAAGTAGAGGAGACATATAGAGTGATAGCTGGTAGGGATGGCAGGATCAAGTCAAAGTTTTTTGAGGGGCAGGGGAAACACAGGCAAGTTTGTTGGCAGCAGAGAAACAGCCAGCAGAAAGGAAAGGTTGAAGATAAGAGAGAAGGGAGAGGACAGTGAAGAGCCATTTGCTCTCCTAGGGCAGTTCTTTTAGAGTCTAGTGCAGCTAGGTTGGCATAGTGGATAGAGTGCTGGGCCTGGAGTCAGGAAGACAAATCTGGCTTCAGACACTTACTAGCTGTGTGACCCTGGGCCAGTCACTTAATCTTGCTTGCCTCGGTTTCCTCCTCTGTAAAATGAGATGGAAAAGGAAATGGCAAACCACTCTAGTATCCTTGCCAAGAAACCCTCAAATGGGGTCATGAAGAATTGGACATGACTGGAATGACTAACAATGACAACTATTAGATGCAGTGGGATCAAGGGTGCATATTGAGAGGTTGGCTTTGACAAAAAGAAGGAGCACCTCTTCATCTGAGATCCTGGTGGAGGAAAACATGGGGGAATATGCATGAATGATGTGAGACAGAGGGAAAGCAGGAGCCATGACCAGTGGGCTCAGTTGTTATGGTTTGCTTAAACAAGTGGTGAAGTCCTGGGTGGTACGGGATGCCATGGGAGGGCCGAGGAGAGAACATGAAAGTCGAGATAGTGAAGCAATTAGGGACGAACAACAGAAATGCCTTGCTGCAGTGAAGGCTCATGAGGTTAAATAACATAAATTTGTAGTGTGCCCAGTCACGGAGATACATTATTTCCTCCAGCTCTGTTCATGTACAGAATGGGTCATGAATGAAGGAATGAATAAAAAGTTTTGGGAAAGTGTGGGAGAAATGATATGAGAATCAGGATGAGACTGGGGCAGTTCTTTAAGAACTCAGACCTGTGATGTTGCATTTGAACAACTGTTCACATACTTTCCTTTTTTGGCCCCAAAATATGTGAGTCAATTGTTGTTGTTCAGTCATTTTAGTAGTGTCTGACACTCTGTGACCCCATTGGAGGTATAAAACTCCAGAGACACTGGAGTGGTTGGGCATTTTCTTCTCTAGCTCATTTTACAGAGGAGGAAACTGAGGCAAACAGGGTTAAGTAAGTGCCTGAGGCTGGCTCTGAACTCCACTGTGCCCCTCAATTGCCCCTTACTAGTAAACGATTCCATGATGGCAAAATGGCCTCAAAATTAGTGATTTCTTGGGATGCTAGTAGCACATAGGAAATATGCATAATTCTTCTTTAAATAATTCAAAATTTTGTTTGTTTAAAAAAAAATTAAACACAACCGGTGACAAGGCCACAAATGGGTGCAAATGAGGAAGGAAACCCAGTATAAGAAAGCAGACTAAGTAATTTTGTCTCACACTTCATTCTTCTCCCTGAAGAAACCGCTGCTGCCCTGTGATAATACATAGCCAAACAACATTCTTTCAAGAAAAGGTGATTACTTTTTTTAAAACTCGTTTCATAATTATGAACGTTTATAAAGTATACAATATGCTTTTAGTAAAAACGTTATAAAATTAACATTCTGCAATCCACAGAGACTGGTGGGCATAAATGTAGCTCCATTAGAGGGATCTGTGTGGATTGTTATCTCTTCACAAGAGTCTCTGGGATAGTATGGACTTATTCCTTATAAATGGATCATGGGAAGGAGTTCTGAAGCTACAATTTAATTACGAATACTAGAAGAACTAAGCAGCTTGCTGTATTAACTTAAGATGTCTTTGCTGCCTGACTAGGCCATGAGACTTTCTTTTCTTAGAAAGAACTTGTGTTTTGAAGGTGAATGTGCATGAGGTCACCAGCTTCAGTTTAATGGGTCTTCCAACTGCAAAGGCACTCTGCAAAGGGCAGTCTGAAGTGGGTATGTGACTTTCGAAATCACTAACTTCTCTTCCATTTTGTGGCTGTTTTTATAGCGGACACAGGGAACCATGAATGCCACTTTCCTTCAACTCACCAACGGATCCCTCAACTCCACGGACCGCTGCCCCAGAGATACCCGGATTACTCATTTGGTCTTCCCAGCCCTTTACACCACCGTGTTCTTTGCTGGGATGTTACTGAATAGCTTGGCTTTATGGGTTTTCTTTAGGATTCCCAGCTCGTCCACCTTCATAGTCTACCTTAAAAATACCCTAGTGGCGGATCTGATAATGACCCTGACTCTCCCTTTCAAAATTCTCTCAGACGCAAGCCTCGGACCCTGGCAAATCCGAGCTTTTGTCTGTCGTTTTTCAGCAGTGATCTTTTACGAGACCATGTACATCGGCATCATCTTGCTTGGGCTCATCGCTTTTGACCGCTTCCTCAAGATCATCCGGCCCTTTGGGAAGTTCTGCGTGCAGAAGCCCGCCTTTGCCCAAATTCTTTCTGTCCTGGTCTGGCTCGCCCTGTTCTTCCTCTCCTTGCCGAATATGATCTTATCTAACAAGGAAGCCACGCCACAGTCTGTCAAAAAGTGTGCTTCCCTAAAGGGCCCCTGGGGCCTTACGTGGCACAAAGCAGTCAATTATGTGTGTCAGTTTATCTTCTGGACTGTTTTCTCTCTCATGCTTCTGTTTTATGTGGTGATCGCCAAGAAGGTATATGAGTCCTTCAGAAAATCCAAAAGTAAAGATGCCCAAAGCAACAAAAATCTCGAAGGCAAAGTCTTCATTGTCGTGGCCGTGTTCTTTGTCTGCTTTGCCCCTTTCCATTTTGCAAGGGTCCCCTATACTCACAGCCAAACTAATAATAGCAAGACGGACTGCACTGTGCAGAACCAGCTGTTCCTGGCTAAGGAAGCTACTCTCTTTCTGGCCACAACCAACATCTGCATGGATCCCCTGATATACATATTCTTATGTAGGAAATTCACAGAAAGGCTGCCCTGTGTGAGGAAACTGAAAAAGACAAGCCAAGAACATCACACCACTCAAACTGATAACATAACTTTAAGCTGACAGAATTTGTGAGTAACCACCCCCCATTAAGCATGTGGGCTTAGAAGAAACGTTGTGGCATGGTTTTGTCTACTTTGGCTGGGGAAATGGAATTTAAGGGTTAAAACAAGGTGCTGGGGCAGGGGAAAGGGAATGATATGACTGGAATGTACGGGCTCGGCTATTACTTGATTTTTCATGCATGTTGCATAGAAAGGCTATAGTTAATTTTAATTTCTGAATGCTATGTATGAAGAAAGGGTTGATTCAAATGAAGGGAATTGTCTGTTAAGACTTGGGAGGAAACAAAAAGTTACTTCATCTGAGAAAGGGTTGATTTATATGAAAAGATCTAGTTCTCTGAAGAGAATGTTTGACCACTAAAGGTTACTTCCAACTTAAAATAAAACAATAGCTTTACAATATTGGGGAGGGGGGAGTTATTTGTTAATACCTACACCCCAGAGCGATCATCAAGCTCTCTCTAAAACCTTGAAATTCCCCTGGTGTACTACTTCCCACTGGTGGCATTTCTGATGAATCCTTACCTTATGGACAAATGACTTTATTTGTTAGCTGTGGTCAGTTCTACATCTCCCTGTGTCTGCCAGAGTCCAATGGCATAATCGCTTCTCTAAAAGTTTCTTACTCTAGTTGTTTAACAGACAGACATACTGTTTCCATAACTGAATGTCTGGCCCAATTTCTCTGGTTATTAAGGGTCTCTTCCCCTAGCTCCCCCTCCAGCGACACACACTACCCTGTGAGGCCTTGGACAAATCACTTAACCACTCTGGGCCTAGGGTGCTTCATCTATAAAACAGAGGAGGTGGAGTCAGTGACTTCTGAGGCCCCTCTCGAGACCTATGATCATATGATCCAGCTTTTATATCCTTTATCTGTGCACGTGTTGTTTTCCTGCTACTAGACTGTAATCTCCTTGAGGGCAGAATAGTTGCTTTATCATCTTTTTATCCCTAACCTCTATGTGAATGGAATGAAATTTCAGAATCTTTTATTATTTCTGTAATCCAGAAAATGGAACAATTCTAGATCATGGAATGTTAGATTCATCAAGGATTTTAGAGATCATTGGGGGCAACCCTGACATTTTATAAATGAGGAAACTGAGGTCCAGTGAAGTTAAGGGACTTTATCCAACGTTATATAGCCAGTAAGGGGGAAGAAGATTCAGAATTTGAACTCAGGTCTTCGAATTCAAAATACACAGCTCCTTCCACTACTCTAAGGTGACTCTCAGGTGCTTATCATCTGTTTGCTTTTAAAGAAACAGAAAATAGAAACAGAAAACCCAAACGGGCTTGGTTAGAAGAAGACATAGAGATTGTGAGGAAGAAGTTTATTAGGTATTCTCTTCCCAAACTTCGGATCTCAAATGGATTATTTAACTGAACCTCCACTTCTTAGGATCCCGAACTCACTCCAAAGTTCCATTCAGATTCTACCTACCATGGGAAGCCATTCAGGACCTTTCCCTCCACCCCCACAATCCAATTGTTAGCATTCTTTCCTTCTTCAAATGACCATACATGTTGTTGTTGTTATTCAGTCCTGCCTGACACTTCATGATGCCATTTGGGGTTTTCTTGGCAGAGGTACTAGAGTAGTTTGCCATTTCCTTCCCCAGCTCATTTTACAGATAAGGAAACTGAGGCAAGCAAGGTTAAGGCACAGGGTCACACAACTAGTTAAGTATCCGAGGCCAGATGTGAACTCGTAAAGATGAGTCTTCCTGACTCCAAGTCTTTACATGTTGTAATCTTTGCACCCCTCCTCCACCTTTCCCCCAGAGATTGTAAATGCTTTTTTTGTTTTGTTTTGTTTTTAGGCAATCGGGGTTAAGTGACTTGCCCAGGGTCACACAGCTAGTGAGTGTCAAGTGTTTGGTCTGAGGTCACATTTGAACTCAGGTCCTCCTGATTTCAAGGCTGGTGCTCTATCCACAGCGCTGCCTAGCTGCCCCCAGAGATTGTAAACTCTTTAAGGTCAGGGACTGTCTTTCATTTTTTTTCTTTGTATCTCCAGAATCTAAGGTAATAATGTATATATAGTATGTGCTTAATAAACATTTACTGAATTGTATTGGAATGGATTAGTGTCTGAAGAGATTCTGGAGAGAAGGAAATGATCAATATACTAGGAACTCTCTCTCTCTTTCCTCCTTACCCTATCACACACACACACACACACACACACACACACACACATACACACAGAAGCACAAAGAAACTTTCTCTTCACTAATAAAATATTCTGGAGAATCCAAAAGCAAAACCAATGGCCTGTAATATCTGTTAATTTGGTGGTGTTGTATTGTCTTTGTAACTGTGAAAACAGTAGGCAGTCTGTGGCAATAACATAGAGAGAACATGTTAACCAACCAGGCACTAAAAACAATTTCAAGATTGTGGAAAGGCTGCCTTTGTCTTATGGTGTAAAAAAGTATAATCTAAAGTAAATTGTCATTGTGATGTTTGCTATTGCCTTGGATACAGGTTTTACTGATCTTGGGGGAGTCTAAAAGTACTTAACTGGGAAAGAGACAGTGGCCAAAATGAGCTCCACACAGCAGTGTGGTTTAACGAACTGAACCTGGATCCTGCAGTCAGGAGAAACCTTAATTCAAAAAGCACACCACTATAACCGGTCATCTCACGAAAGGTATTTCATGGTTCTGAGCCTCAATTTCCCCATCCAAAAAAATGGGTACGATATGACATGCCTCACAGGAATGTGGCTAAGAACCAAATACGATGGTGCTGAAGTGCACTGCGAATCTTAAGGCATTATGCAACAATCCACTACTACTATTATTATAACAACAGTGCATTGCCACATGTCGTTGTTGAGTCGTTTCAGCTGTATATATATATGAAACTCTTCGTGACCCTATATGGGGTTTTCTTGTGAAAGATACTGGGAGTGGTTTGCCATTTCCTTCTCCATCTCATTTTACAGATGAGGAAACTGAGGTAAACAGGGTCAAACAGCTAGTAAATGTCTTGAGGACAGATTTGAACTCAGGAAGATGAGTCCTCTTGATTTTAAACCCTGTACTCCATGCACCATGGCGCCACCTAGCTGCCCTACATATGGCCCACAGGGGTCACTTAATTTTTTATTGATTGATTACTGTTATTAAGGCCACACTTGAATGTCTTTTAATAAGTAACGTAAGTATGTGTTGAGGTCATCCACTGAATGGCCTTGTGGGAAGTTTGATTGAAAAACACCCCACTGGAGATCTGCAGATGACATCATTGATGAAATGTTCCAATTCCATTATGTCAATTATAAAAGATGTTTGTTACTTGTAAATTGAAATTGTCCCTGAGACAATGCCCCAGTCTCCTTAATTTTTGCCTGTTCTCTGTCACAAGCCCACAGAAATGGTGCTGGTCTAGCTGTCCACAGCAATTCAATAAAAATAAAAGGGATGAGGTGCAACGTTACGAAGCCTACATTACCTTTATTCACCAAGTGTATCACACACTTAGTGGTATGCTTCTAATATGACCATAAATAATTAAATCTGAACCACACTTGTCCAAATAAATGAGCTACCTGGTGTGATGCAACATCATTATCTCATCAACTCCCATCCTCATCTATTTGCTGAACTGAGTCATTATCTCACTATTTCTCTCCCTGTACCCATGTACAGATGTGAGTTCCCTCCAGGCAACTTTCATGTATCCATGTAGCATTAGGGAGAAAATTAATATATGTATAAATGTATAAAAGATTTTACCTGACACAGGCTCAATAACGTTTAAAATCAAATTGACATCAGAGTATTTTTAAATCAAGATTAGGGGAAAAAAATAAGGTAAATCATTACCGACGGAAGTTGGATAGCCAAAGAGATTAAAGATTAATTATGGAAATGGAGTCATTAATACTTGGCTAGATGCCTTGTTAAATTATAATCTGGGAAGACACTTCACGACCTAAGGAGTCCTTAGACTGTTAGAGCTTCCCCTGGGATTACGCCCTATTTATCTTGGATATACCCTGTTTGTACATAGTTATTCATTGCCTCCCCAATTACACAGTGTGCTCCTTGAAAGTAGGGATGGTCTTTTGCCTTTCTTTGTGTCCTGTGGCACATAGCAGGCACTGACTCGATAGATGCATGTTTCACTTCACCATACCTAGAACACGATTTAATGTCATGGAAGAAGTTATTTATTTTTAAAAGTACATTAGAATGATTCCAAAGGATGCATGATGAAAAACGCTAACCACCTACAGAGAGAGTACTGATGAACTCTAAATGCAGGGTGAAGCATGCTATTTTTACTTTCTTATTTCTCTTTTTTCTTTTGTCTGTGTTTTCTCTTGCAACTCAGCTGACATGGAAACATGTTTTGCATGACTTCCCATGTATAATCACTATCAAACTGCCTTCTCAAGGAGAGGGGAGGGGTGGGAAGAAGAGATAATTTAGAACTCAAAATTTTAAAAATACTTTAAAACAATTTTTACACATAATTGGTAAATATTTAACAAAATAAAAAATATTTAAAAGGCTATTTTAAATAGACTTATAGGGGGCTTAATAGTAGGCTTAAAATTAGGGATCAGGTACCTTTGTTGTTTTCTTCCTGTCTCTAGAAGAAAATACAAACTCATAAACTAAAATACTGAATTTAATAACTATATTGAAATATTAAAATTTACATATGATGAAATAAATTTAATTATATTATATATTTAATAATATTTAAAGTCCTCTGGACTCAGACTCCCCTTCAAATTTCCAGACTTATTTTAGATGGCTACGCTTCACACATTCAACACTCCAGCCGAACTGATCTATTTGTTATTATTTCCTCAATTAAACATTCTATCTCAAGCCTCTAGGATTTGTATGGGCTGCCTAGAATTCACTTCTTGGAATCCTTTGGGAGGGTCTGTTCAGGTATCATATTCTGCAGAAATTCTTTCCTGATTTAGAAGTTCGTAACCTGGGATCTGAGAACTTTGTTTCTATTTTGATAACTGTAATTCAATAACAATTCATTTCCTTTGTAATTCTATGTAGTACTCAATTTTATGCACTGAAAAACATGATTCTGAGAAGGCGTACATAGGCTTCACCAGACTAGCAAAGGTCCTCTCCCTCCTCAACTTACTTTTTCTTGTATCTCCTACTCGAATGTAAACAACAGGAAGGCCAAGCTGATTTTGTCTTGAGCTCTGCGTCCCCAGCTGGCACAATAAGTCTAAATACACCATGTTGCTCATTTTTATGCAATGAATTGATTTCCCCAACCACGTACTGAAAACACCGCAAACTCAGACAATTTCCCCAAGCCGTGTAGATTTTTTATGTTTCAGTGACTGGGCCAACACTGGTTTTGGGCTGCCCATCTGTAAAACAACATACTGTCAAATGACTTAGAGAAAAAGAAAATAAATAACCCTAAGAAACAGGTGTTGCCCTTAGGTAGCATAAAGAGAGACCCCACCCATTTCTCTGTACCTAGAACAGCAACAGGAAAATTCCTGCAATGGAAAAACCCACCAAATCGGTGTTCTGAGCATCGTGTACTCTGGGAAATTCAACTCTCAAGGTTCTTGGCCAAGAGACTGTCAAAAGTGGAAGGAACAAAGTATACATGGAGAAAAGTTTATTTTTTTTCAGGGCCTTCATATCCAGTTTGGAAATAAAGGAACCATTCCATGGTACATAAATAAATTTTAATGAAACTTTAATGGGCAAATATTTGTGAAAGAGATAAAGAAAAGGAGGGGGAAAAAATCAACAATACTAATCAATAGATTGAAAAAAACCTCACAATATCTGCATGGGTACCTTGTCCCCACACACATATCCCTTTGAAAAGCAGTGTGTATGGGGCTGGAGTGTTATCTAATTATATTTCTTCTCCAGGAGAAGGGGAATGGATATAAGGGAAATTTTAAGCTATGTAAAAACAAAAAAAAATTCAATGAAATTTATTTAAAAAAAAAACTAATAAAAATACATTGTAGAATGCTCTATCATACTTATTAGCTTGCTAATTTTTTCCCGATGAACTTAGTCAGCTGTAATATATACTCATCACGAACTTGACAGTGAGAAAAATCTTCATTTTAACACATATTTCATGTCTGAAGTTTTCCCTTCTTTGAAGAAGTATTTGCTGAATGTCAATCAGAGAACTGGGCTCAACTGCAGTCTAAATCACTTATAAAGCCCTGAAGAGGGGGTCAGACCCCTACACCGGGTTGTGGTACCTCCCCCCCACCCCCCGTGCGTCTTTTCTAAGATTTCACTGAGATGTTTAGAATTACACTTGTACTCAGTCAAGCACCATACCCTCAGGTCCAAGACATATATGTTCAAGGCATCCACAGATGCTTAGGGTCCAACTGATTGACTATGCTCTGTCTCGTGGAATTACTGGAAGTTGCTGGCAGTAAGTGAAAATATAGATCCAACTTTTCAAAGAAGGTCAAAAACTAAAATTAATTGCTATACCACTTGAAATACAAAAGATTTCTCACGCAATGAAACTAGAAAAGAGGAACACTGGA